TTCACAAGTTTAAACATCACAGTACAGCACCGTAGAGCACAGTACAGTACAGTACAGTAGAGTGTAATACAGTACAGTACAGTCAAGTAAAGTAGAGCAGAGTATAGTATAGTTCAGTACAGTAGAGTACAGAAGCAATTAAAGCAATTAAAACCTGTTATTAATAAAACAACAAGTCTATTAGCATGATGTTAGATTAGTACAGTAGAGTACAGTAGAGTATAGTAGAGTAAAGTAAAGAAAAGTAGAGTATAGTTCAGTACAGTACAGTACAGCACAGTACAGCACAGTACAGCACAGTCAAGTAGAGTGATCACAGTCAAGTTGAGGAGTAGAGTATATTACATTATATACTGTACTCTACTCATGTGTGCTCTGCTGTACTGTACTGAACTCTACTCCATTGTACTGAACTATATTCTACTCTAATTTCTTTACTGTACTCTACTGTACTGTACTGTGCTCTACTACAGCTGTGGTTCTGACTACTATGATTTCCCATTGTGGCCAATTCAATTGCAGTCATTCTGTGATTTGTGGCCTAGCCAGTCCCCAGACCTTAATCCCATAGAATATCTGTGGAGGGAGCTGAAGGTTCGAGTTGCCAAACGTCAGCCTCAAAACCTTAATGACTTGGAGAAGATCTGCAAAGAGGAGTGGGACAAAATCCCTCCTGAGATGTGTGCAAACCTGGTGGCCAACTACAAGAAACGTCTGACCTCTGTGATTGCCAACAAGGGTTTTGCCACCAAGTATTAAGTCATGTTTTGCAGAGGGGTCAAATACTTATTTCCCTCATTAAAATGCAAATCAATTCATAACATTTTTGACATGCGTTTTTCTGCATGTTTTTGTTGTTATTCTGTCTCTCACTGTTCAAATAAACCTACCATTAAAATTATAGACTGATCATGTCTTTGTCAGTGGGCAAACGTACAAAATCAGCAGGGGATCAAATACTTTTTTCCCTCACTGTATCTATGCCTTCTTTCCCAAAAATATTGACTGTTATCTTTCATTTGAGACCAAATTTGATATGCTCCTATAAACTTCACATGTTGGTACTCATGGATGATTTTACATGGAAATGACCAGAGGGCAAAGAGAGAAAAAGAGGGGAAGAGAGAGAAAGAGAGAAAGGTGAGGATGAGTAGGCCCTCTGTATCTCAGTTGGTAGAGCATGGCGTTTGCAACGCCAGGGTTGTGGGTTCGATTCCCACGGGGGGCCAGTATGAAAATGTATGCACTCACTAACTGTAAGTTGCTCTGGATAAGAGCGTCTGCTAAATGACTAAAATGTAAATGTAATGAGTGGAAGAGAAGAGAGCGATTGAGTGACCAGATGGGAAAGTGTAGCCTTAAGGATGTAACAGATGTCTGGGGATCCTGTATCACTATGAACCTCCATCAGACCCTGTGCTCTTCCCCATTGGCCCTGCTACTCCCCCAACACCAACCAATCATGGATCTCTCTCAATTGTGGTCTATATGGTATTTGATATCTCTATGTCATGTAACTGTAATTAAAACATGCATAGAAACACAAGACTGTGTTTCATCCTTGTTGTGTAGCCATAGACACTGTTATTCTGTTCTAGACACTGTTATTCTGTTCTGTATCCTGGCTGAGAGACGCTTTCCGAATGGCTGGAGCCATGAAATGGGTTGCTATGGAACTGTGTGTCAGGTGCAACATTGTATGGTAACATCGTGTACTGGACACTATGTGACGTGTGCCCTCTCTCTCTCTCTCCCTTTCTCTCTCTTTTTCCCACTCTCTTATCCCTTTCATATGCAGACCAAAATCCCACTATTTTACCATGCCTTCTTTTTTATACCAGCTTTTTGGTATATCTGAAAGGGGTAGGGGGTAAAAAAACAAGGAAAAATAAAAGCCACCTAAAGACCTAGTCATGATTCCTGCATTTTCACAGACCCTGTAAGCAAAATACAGGAATCAGGTCTGTGTGAATGGTTCTGTGCTTTTTTGCAGGTAAACTCATTAACACTTCTATTGTTTAACACCTCCCTAATTTGAAATGCAAACAGCCCCCATGGTTTAACAACACCCCCCAACTCCCACCCCTCCTAATTTGCCAGTTACTACTCACTTATGTGTATAAAAGGGGTATCCCTTTGGTAAATAAGGTGCTGTTTTAAAGGGGGTCATATAAACATTGCGTGTATTTTTTTTTACAGGTAATATACCACATCTTCTGTCTGAAATGGATATATCTGTCTGATTCCATCTGGTTGTAAAGATGCTCCTATATGTTCTGAAGATAACCTTCAACACATGTTAACTTTCTCACTTCACACATGGATTCCACAGACCTGCACAGCTTTGATGCATCAAAGGTGGGAAAGGGGCAGTAATGGGAAATCAACCAAGGTCCTCTTCTAAGAGAGCCTAGGTAGAATGGCCGTTCCAGAGTAGCAGTGCTCTAACAGAAGCACCCTTACAGTAGAGGAGAGAGCTCGCAACGCTGCAGAGCAGAGAGGGATGGAGAGTGAGTGGAACAAGTCTGTGTTGTGATGTGATAACTCAACTCTCACTCAGCTGCTCTCAACCTTCAGCACAACAGCACCACTTCAGTCAGGTGCAGTCTACCACTTGTACACCTGAACGACAGCATACTCCAGGTATAGCAAACATACATGATCCACGCGCACACGCACACGCACAAGCACATACACACACATCAACAGTGCATGGGGGGCTATAGATGAGGGAGTAGAAGCTACTTGGCTTGATTCAGATTGCAGATGCCTGTTGGGTTCTGAGGAACCCCTGAGAACACGAGTAATTCCGGTAACAGGGGCACATCTACCCAATCGACCTCCTCTGCTGAGAAACTGCAGTGTGGTGGGCGTGGGGGAGGGGTGTGTATGGAGGTCAATCCTGCAGGGAGAGATTATCTGACGTTGCATCGCCATCTGATGGTCATAGAGGAAAAATGCAATCCAGCACCATTTAGGCCTGTGTCAATGCCAATGCACAGCAGTAGACTTCCATCAGCAGCACCATTTTATAAACTGAAAGTAATGTTTAAAACCAGAGCATATTAAAATGAATTGTGAGTCTGTCAAGCCACGCAGAGTTAAATAAGATTGAAGTCACTTTGCACCATGCCTGTCAGGAAGATCAAATCATGGATAATGATAACATCTTATGAAAATGATTGTATTCAGTGTCACAAATGAGCAGATAATTAAACACATGCATTTGGAAAGTTCTCAATTTGAGCTGCTGTGAATGATCACTGAACAGGGATGAAGAAAGGCACAGGGATTCGAAAAAAATAAGAATGTACTGTATGTTTGTGGTGACGAAGCGAGAGAGCGCTGAACTTTTCGGACGGGTTAGCCAAGAACAAGATAAGAAAATTGAGAGAAAGGCAGCGATGCCAGAGTCCCCTGGTGCAAACCAAGTAACTTTAGACAAAGATTTGGATGGAGAGCCTTGTAAATGGCGTCCCTTGAGAAAGCAAGAACAAGATGTATGTCAGGAGAAGTGCAGTATTATCATAAGGAAACTTATACTTGGAATACGGAGGAGGAATGGAGGGAAAAAGAGAGGCAGAGGAGGTCTAAGAGAGAGAGGGAGGAAGATAAAAATGGTGGGAAAAAGGGAGAAGGTTTGTTTTAAGAAGAGTGGTAGAAAATGTAAGCAGAGTGAGCTGAGGACAAATGGAAGTGAATGAGGGTGAAGTATCGGAGGTGGTAGGTGTGGTGAAGTACTCGGAGCCCGAAGCATAGGATAAAAATGAGTCTGTGACAGTAGGAGTGAAGATTTTGGAAAAAGTGGACCCTTGCCTTTTGGCTGACCCATTTGTGGTTTCAGTGTGGGTGAAAAAATAGTTGGGTATAGTGGAATCGGTGAGGGTAACCAGAAGTGGTCTAGTGATAATTGTTTCTGTTTCTGTTGGTCAGAGGGAGAAGGCGTTCGAAATTAAACAAATGGGGGCAAGAAATTTGAATTGTTTTGCTCTCAAGAAAAGGGCGCCGTTGAAAGGAGTGATTACTGGGGTAGCAGTAAATGTAAAAGTTGACCAACTGAGGGGAAGATTCCCGGTGTTTGTGATGCTCGTCGTTTGGTGCGATACAAACAGGGTGGGGAAACAGAAGAGTCATTGTCTGTTCTTTTGAGTTTTGAAGTTGAGTCTTTGCCCGACAAAGTGAAGTTAGGATATATAAGTTATCCTGTACGAGCTTATGTGCCGAATACATTATGATGTTACAGGTGTCAAACTTATGGGAATGTGGCAGCAGTGTGTAGGAGGGAGGTTCCAAGGTGTGAGAAGTGTGCAGAAGGGCTTGAGACAAAGGAATGTGTAGCATTGGGGGAAGTAGTAGTATGTGCTAATTGTAGGGGTGCCCATGGGGCTGGGGATCAGACATGTCCCGTGCGAGAAAGGCAGGTTGAGGTTTCCAGGGTAAGAGTAGTGCAGAAGTTGTCATATATTGAGGCAGTGAAGAAAGTAGAGGAAGATGGGTCAAGGGGGAGGAGTGGTGAGAGTAGTAGATCTGTACCAGTACAGAGGGATAGGCCAACAAGTGATATATGTTTCAGTAAGATTGGATTTTTAGCATTTATAGCAATGGTTATTAATTGTACTGCAGGGATGGAACGTACGTCGAAGAAAATCGAGGTTGTGGTGGCAGCTGCGGAGAGGTATTTGGGTGTGCGAGACTTGACATCAGAAGAGTTACAGGGTGTGGTAAGAAGTAGTGATGTCCCATCCTTTCAGGTTGAGGGCATGAGGTAGGAATAAATAGATTTAAATAGTGGAGTAGGGTGATGTTAATTTTATTTTATAAATAGTATTATTTCTTTCTTTTTGAATTTGTGAGTGTAGTGTTAGATGGTAGGGTATTTCTTAAAACAAATTTATTGACTTTTCAAGCAATATATAAGGGAGTTGTACTCCAGTATAGTAGGTGGCGGTATTGCAACATATTGGATGCCAACCGCCGTTAAACCTCATCGCCTGTTCTGTGTTGTTTCCGGAAATTCCGGTCTACTTTCAGAGTTTCACGCGCGCTCAAATGTCAGTCAAACAACTGCGGTGTACAGTCGGCTATCAACATTTTTGACGGTTTCTTATTGTTTTAACTTAAATCTAGACATTTGCATAATAACTTCAGAAATGCCAGCTGCTGATTACGACCAGGCCTCTCTACCGGACCTATTGCCTCTCTACTACCGCCGACTTTTCCCTTTCTCTCAATATTACCGGTGGCTGAACTATGGAGGAGGTGAGTAGTTGGCTAGCTAGCCTGCTCTTGAACTAGAATCTGGGTTTACAGGAGACCAGCCATTCACCAGCTTTTTAAGCTTAATAATGTCAAAATACGTTGGGAATTTACCAAATAATTGCGTTTCGCTGAGCAACCATCGTAATTACTGACGTTATGACCGGTAAATTATGAACTGTATTTCCCAAAAATCTCTAAATAAAAAGTAGCATGCATCCGAAAAAAAAGTATTGTTTTTGACCAAGTGCGCATGCTTCTTCTGCAATTACTCATTACTGCTATGCATAGGTCGGATGCAGTTGGTAAAAAAAACAATACTAAGATTCACCAAAAAGTGTTGGATTCTTCACACAACACACTAAGACATCCCATTCCACTACCTTTTGGGGGTCGTTCCTCTTCAAAAAGCACAAGAAAGAGGATTTTGACACCCACCATCTCAGCTTGTTCTAAAATCGTTTATGTAGTTAGAAACAGATAAGATTAGCATTCCTGCAACATTTTGTTGAAATATAATTTGATCTCTGTGAAATTAAGCTAATTGATTAAACCCAAATTGCCATTTTAATTTATAGGATTCAATAAATATAGTACCCAACATCCGATTTGGACAACTTTTTTTCTAACTGAGTTAGAAAAAAAAAAGTTTATATAGTATCAGTTCTCTATGTCTGACAAGTAGTATGGAGCTGAGTATTGTTTCTTCATCCTATGTAATGTAGTCCCAGGGAATTTGGTGATGTTTTTTTCCCCCTGTTCAGAGAAGTTAGTCATTGAAGTTGTTAGGTTAATGTCCCATCCTACATCCAGATCTGACCATGTTCTGACCACTAGATGGCGCTGTTCCTGCTATTAGGTGATTATAATTTATTTATTTTGCAATTTGGGTGAACTATCCATTTAACATTGCCCCCCAGTGTTAAAAGGGATAGTTCACCCAAATTACAAAATGACATTGATTTCCTTACCCTGTAAGCAGTTTATGTACAAGATGTGGTCCTCTGTAGCTCAGCTGGTAGAGCACGGCGCTTGTAACGCCAAGGTAGTGGGTTCGATCCCCGGGACCACCCATACACAAAAAAATAATGTATGCACGCATGACTGTAAGTCGCTTTGGATAAAAGCGTCTGCTAAATGGCATATTATTATTATTATAAGATATGACAGTAACCCATGCTTTGGTTTTGTTTACCAGGCCACTATTTCAATAGAAGGACACTGTAAAGTCCATTATGCCTCTGAAGAGTATGAATCCTTAGCAACTGAATCCCAGTAAAATATATTATCAATGGCAACATAAGGTTTTTCGGGAATACTTTGAAAAGTAACATGACACTGTGTTAATCAGTCGGATCTGCTGGCTAGGAGCACTCCAAACAAAACACAATGGAAAAAATTGCCAAAACTTGTACATGATGGTTATGAAATAAACCAAAACTGGTTTTTCACAAGTGTAGCAGGTTGTGAACTCTGCAAACAAAGTTTCCACTCTGAGAATGAGAACAGTAAATGACTGTAATTAATACATGCATTAACAGAAATTAATGTAACCAAATTATGGGGATTAACGGTACATTTTACTACTGGGGACATACAGTACCAGTCAAAAGTTTGGACACACATTCTCTCAACCAGCTTCACCTGGAATGCTTTTCCAACAGTCTTGAAGGAGTTCCCACATATGCTGAGCACTTGTTGGCTGCTTTTCCTTCACTCTGCGGTCCAACTCATCCCAAACCATCTCAACTGGGTTGAGGTCGGGTGATGCAGCACTCCATCACTCTCCTTCTTGGTCAAATAACCCTTACACAGCCTGGTGGTGTGTTGGGTCATTGTCCTGATGAAAAACAAATGATAGTCCCACTAAGCGCAAACCAGATGGGATGGCGTATCGCTGCAGAATGCTGTGGTAGTCATGCTGGTTAAGTGTGCCTTGAATTCTAAATAAATCACAGAGAGTGTCACCAGCAAAGCACCATCACACCTCCATGCTTCAAGGTGGGAACCACACATGCAGAGATCATCCGTTCACCTACTCTGCGTCTCACAAAGACACAGCGGTTGAAACCAAAAATCTCAAATTTGGACTCATCAGATCAAAGGACAGATTTCCACCGGTCTAATGTCCACTGCTCGTGTTTCTTGGCCCAAGCAAGTCTCCTCTTCTGATTTGGTGTCCTTTAGTAGTGGATTCTTTGCAGCAATTCGACCATGAATGCCTTATTCACGCAGTCTCCTCTGAACAGTAGATGTGTCTGTTACTTGAACTCTGTGAAGCATTTATTCGGGCTGCAATCTGAGGCTGGTAACTCTAATGAACTTATCCTCTGCAGCAGATGTAACTCTGGGTCTTCCATTCCTGTGGTGGTCCTCATGAGAGCCAGTTTCATTATAGCGTTTGATGGTTTTTGACACTGCACTTGAAATAACTTTCTTGAAATTTTCCATATTGACTGACCTTCAGGTCTTAAAGTATTGATGGACTGTCGTTTCTCTTTGCTTATTTGAGCTGTTCTTGCCATAATATGGACTTGGTCTTTTACCAAATAGGGCTATCTTCTGTATTCCTCCCCTACCTTGTCACAACACAACATTGGCTCAAACGCATCAAGAAGGAAAGAAATTCCACAAATTAACTTTTAAGAAGGCACACCTGTTAATTGAAATGCATTCCAGGTGACTACCTCATGAAGCTGGTTGAGAGAATGCCAAGAGTGTGCAAAGCTGTCACCAAGACAAAGGGTGGCTACTTTGAAGAATCTAATTTTAACAATTTTTTGTTACTACATGATTCCATATGTTATTTCATAGTTTTGATGTCTTCACTATAATTCTACAATGTAGAAAATAGTTAAAATAAAGAAAAACCCTTGAATGAGTAGGTGTGTCCAAACATTTGACCGGTACTGTATGTAATGGGGAATTGATCAAAATAAACAAAGGGCAAACAATCCACACAAATAAATAATGAATGCGCAAGAATTGGCGGGCAAAAGCTGAGCACATTCTGGAGAGCTGAGCACATGCGTTCTGGAGAGATACCCAATATCTTCGCCACACACCGCTGCCCTTGTTTCAACAAAAATATACTCAACACATTTCTTCATACATATTTTGGATGCTTTTCGCTGACAGCCGCAACTCAATAATCAGCTAGGCCTATTGTCACGTGCGCTGCCCAAATAGCGCTTGTCAGCTTGTAGTCCTAAAAACCCAAAATGAGTTACCTCTGGTTTGTTCAGCCATTCATATGAGGAAAGAATAGGGTTTTGGATTACGGTAAATGCCAAAAATAAGGTTTGAGGTTAACACAGGCTTAGAAGATCTTACACGTTTTGTTCTATGGTTATTTATTTTTTTACCCATATTTTACCATGTAAGTTGACTGAACACATTCTAATTTACAGCAACGACCTGGGGAATAGTTACAGGGGAGAGGAGGGTGGATGTATGAGCCAATTGGAAGCTGGGGATGATTCGGTGGCCATGATGTTATTAGGTCCAGATTAGGAATTTAGCCAGGACACCGGGGTTAACACCCCTACTCTTACGGTAAGTGCCATGGGATCTTTATTTACCACTGAGTGTCAGAACACCTGTTTAACGTCCCATCCGAAAGACAGCACCCTACACAGGGCAATGTCCCCAATCACTGCCATGGGCCATTGGGATATTTTTGTTAGACCAGTGTCTGTCCTACTGGCCCTCCAACACCACTTCCAGCAGCATCTGGTCTCCCATCCAGGGATTGACGAGGACCAACCCTGTTTAGCCTCAGAGGCAAGCCAGCAGAGGGATGCAGGGTGGTATGCTGCTGAATTATGAAGCCTTTATGTGCTTTGTAATTTTTTGAATTACATAAATGCTTCAAAATTCACAGTGATGTTAACTGATGATTATCTCATAGAACAAAACGTATAAAATCTATTTTTAAAGAAGCTAATGATCCTCTGTGGCTAACTCATGGTCTCTGGTGAAGTATTTTGAATGATTTTATTTTGTACAGACAGGAGTAAATATATAATTTTGGCAAATTTATTTCAATTTACTTTAAGCCTATTGGATGTGCCGCCTATTCAAAAAGTAGGTTACCTTCACATGTTTGTCCAAAATAATTCCTGCATCCGAACGGTGCACTGTGCACCCGCCAATTTGCATGGCTGAAACTATTTCACCGGAGAAAGCATCAGAGCGAGTGAAACTGCGCCCCTGTCTTACTAAATGTAGCCAATGCTGTTTGGCCAAAAAGACAATGACATGCCATACTCTTTTTGACCAGACAGCATCAGATACATGGGCTACACATACTGAGACAGAGGACAGCTGTTTCGCTCGTTGGGATGCTTTATCTGAGATTGATGCATCTTTCTTTCCGCGTGCATCTCAGTGAAATAAATTATCAATATTTTATTTGGATGGGCAATGAGGTACGCTATGGCGGGCCAGGCCCACTAAGGCCCACCCATAACGCTGCCCCTGTATCCTACTCGAAATAAAAGGTTGGGAAAAATGACATCAGGCACTATACAAAAATAGACACAATAAAAAGCCCATCCCACACCTTCAGTCATAGTCCAATTCAAATCAAATCCCGTCAGGTTCAGGCCTGTGAGGGTGGAACATTCTTCAACAGGATTCCTTGCAAGGCCTCGGCTGTAAAATCACTGAGTCCCAAAAGGCGTTTAGCCGCACCCAATTTTCTCCGATTTCTACTGTTTGTGCTGTGCAGTTTATGACCGTGTCCAAAGCTACAGCCATAATCGGTAGACGGTACCGATTGGATAATCGCTGTTTGCATCGCCGAGCGGTGAACAAGAAACTATTAAATCCAGTTTTTAGATGCTACCCAAATCAAAACCAAACAGATTCCATGTTGTGTTCTCACTTTGCGCCACACCTGTCTGTGTTTCACACCTGTTTGTCTAGCTAATCAGCCTCGCAATATGGTCACCATGCTGCCCCAGATGGGAAAGTAGAAGAAATGTGTGCGTGCAAAGTCAGAACAAACATTGCCAGCCATATTACATTTTGATTTGGGGGAGGGGGTAAACGGCGATTCTCCAATCTTAATCGTCAACCGTTCATGGCTGTAACTTCGGACGCTGAACACATGCTGCGGTGATTGGACCATGAGTCCTCTCAAACGCAGTCGCTATGGAATGCCCTTCGACCTTTTCTCATTAAGTAATTAAATATTTAAACAGTGGTCTAATATTGGCCTACTTGCTAGCTAGCCTTGTAAACACGAAACTCTGCGGCAGAGCTAAAACTTGTGTTCGAGGTCGTGTACAGGCTGCTGTTTAGCCGTAAGCAGCAGATTTTCGAGCTACCTTTCACGAGTTTTGATCAGTCAGGGAAATAAGTGCTGAAAACATGTATTTTTAAAAAGAAGATGGAGAACAAGCTATAGAATGAAAAATACTGGAGTTTTATAATATCGCGAAATGTAACTATCGAGTTACATGGACACTAGAGTTCTCATTTTTAACCTGAACCCGACGGGCCCCGATGGTTTTATACTGGGCCGGCCTTGTCTGTCCGTGTCTGCGCACCTTTTTTACTACGTCTCTCTCCACAGCAACAGCAGCTGTAGCCACTACCGGCACCAGGATGATCAAACATTCTTCTGATTTAAATGTTTCTAACTGCGATACGAATAGGCTGTGCACTCGGGAGAATGATGATCCACGAGACTACGACAGGCAGTGCATCTCAGAATCAGGAGAAGCCCATAATTCCAATGGCATCTGTTAACACCAATACATCCTAACAAAATACACCCTATAACTGCCCTGCTAATGTGCCTTGCTGGACCTTGTAAACTATCGAAAGTAGACCCATAACTGATCCAAAAGTTTTCCTAATCAGGCATTGGCTTGATGCAGCTCTCACAGCTCAATGGTGGATAGATGGATAGATAGATAGATACAAGGCTACTAGACCTAATAATGATAATAGTAATACATAATAATAACTACAAGAACACTAAGAACAAACAGGTAGCCTATTTAATTTTTTACCGGTTGGAACAGTGTAAACAACCCTAAACTAATTTAAGTAATGTTTTAACGAAATCAAGTTGTAAAAGCCTTTTACAGCATAGCAAAAATATTTAAACTGCTTTTTTCAACATATTGCGTGAGGCTTGGAGCTCCATTTATATCGTATCGGATTATGGAATCAGTTTTAAACAAACACTCAAATGGGCAACAGCAGCTAGATCTGTCTTATTTCAGAATATATGGATGTTTTATAAAGCCCGACACGTTCAACAAATGTTGATCATAACTAAGGTACGTTTCTCTACTCGCTTTTCATCGAAAATATACTTCTCAATGGTTTATATAGCCCACTGGTGAAATTTGTTGTTATGCACAATGGTAACATGGACTGGGTAAAGGTACAACTGTTTTCTAGAAATCTGGGGGGGGGGGTTTCGGGTTCGGGCTCATTACATTTCTGTGACATCGGACTTGAGTGGGGGTCGGGCTCGGGCTAAGCCGAACCGGGCAAACATTTTCAGGCCTTTTGACAACTTTAGTGGACACCCACCTGTCTTGATCAATGAGAGACGATCAGAAGTTGACAAAATGGCGACGTATACATAGCTGGATTACTTCATGGAGCAAAACATTATTTAATTCAATAACAGAGCATTTTAAATTCAAACGTTCCCCCTGCAACTGGCCATGGGCGTTTAGAAGACCGGTGACTTCTGAATCGAGAATAAAAAAAGTATTGCGAAGTAAAGGTTGGTGAAATCTGCTTACGGCTAAATAGCAGTCTGTACATGACCTCGGAAACAAGCTTTAGCTTTGCTGCCGAGGTTCGGGTTCGTGTTTACAAGGCTAGTTGTTCACAACTAGTCAAGTTTAATGATGACAACTTTATTTTGCAACACCCTCAGTGACAAAGAACTACTTCCAAAATCGAGAGTTCTCCTTCACGTTGAAGGATGACATCTACGTACGATATCAGTCGTTCAGCACACAGAACGAGCTGGAGAAGGAGATGCAGAAGATGAACCCGTACAAGATTGACGTTGGAGCGGTCTACAGTCACAGGGTGGGGTTCCATTACTCACCGTCTTTATCTGACCACCTGTTACACACATTCTTGCTTTCTTTCTTCACCCTCTGTCTCACTCAATCACTTGCCTCTATTGTCCCTCAAGTGTCCATATTTTATTGATGTTCATTCCTCTTCTTCTGTCACCCTCAGCCCAATCAGCATAACACAGTCAAGTCTGGATCCTTCCAGGCTCTGGAGAAGGAGCTGGTGTTTGATATTGATATGACAGACTATGATGATGTCAGAAGCTGTTGCAGGTACTTGGATCACAGCCAGAAAGTGTATTTGTAGTTCCACCATCTTTTCTATTGTACAGATGTGGAGTATGTTTGAATGTAGAACAGACTAATTCAGGGACGATACCTTTGACGTTTTGTTGGGAATGTGGGACAGTTCATCAGCAGTCTTGTCTGTTTTTGTTTTGCAGTGCTGCAGACATCTGCCCAAAGTGCTGGACTCTGATGACTATTGCCATCCGTATCCTGGACAGGGCCCTTCGAGGTGAGTCAAAAAAATGGTTAATTTAATTGCCATTTAGCAGACGCTTTATCCAAAGCCAGTCATGAATGCATATCTTTTTTTTTATGTATGGGTGATACCTTGAACAGAGGACCAGGATTTTTCTATCGGTAATTTTGTAATGTTATCTGAATGTGATTCATTTTAATGTTTACCTGTGTTTGTTGCCTTTTTTCTGGGGTGCTCCAGATGACTTTGGTTTCCGGCACTGCCTGTGGGTGTACTCGGGCAGGAGAGGGGTGCATTGCTGGGTGTGTGACGAGGCCGCCCGGAAGCTCTCTGTGGCGGCGCGCTCCGCTGTGTCTGAGTACCTGAGTCTGGTCAAGGTAAGACCACCTCTCATAACATAACCCACACAAGGCTAAAAGAGGTTTCCAACAATCAAGGGTTATACTCTTCTTGGCTGTATTTTAATGGAGCAGTAGACTCAATCACATGCAATATTTGATAGTGGTGATGCGGGAGCTTCACGCTTCTCGGTTTCTGTTCATTTGAGTCAAGAAATGCTGAGCGTAAAGAAATGCCTCAGTGATAACAAGACTGTAGAAAGGATTTCATATAAAATTTAAGCAAACTTACACTGTGTTCATGTAAATCAGTAGCCTGGTCATTGAGTCATTTAATATTTTTTCGGTTCTTCAGGGTGGAGAAGAGACGGTGAGGAAAGTAGTGCTGTCAGACCCAATTCATCCATTCATCAAGTAAGATTATGATTCACTTTAAAAGCCTTCCAAATGAACTACAACCTTTTTTCACAAGTTACATACATGGTGTTATCCTTGTTAGACGTTGTGGGTTCTAATAGCTGAGAAAAGGACCATTAGTTTGAGGCATTGTCTAACTGTTAGAGGGCAGCATCACGTTGAATCTTGAATGACAAGTTGACCTCTAACCCCCTGTTTCCCCTCCAGTGAATCCCTAAAGGTGGTGGAGCACTACTTTCCCCAGTACGCTGTAGTGGGACAGGACATACTGGGCAGCAAAGAGGCTGCAGACAAAGTGCTGGCCCTCGTGCCTGAAGATATCCTTTTGCTCTCTGCCAATTTTTATTATATGACACAATATGAAATGTGACATGCGTACAGTACATACACGTTCCGTATGTTACCGTTTAGCAGGTTTTGTGATATATCAATTGCATGTTGAGGGAGAGCGAGAACATGCCTATCCTTAACGGAAACTTCACATGTCAGAAAGGAGCTGCTGCAGTACTTCCAGACTGAAAAAAACCCTGAGAAGCGCTGGGGCAGACTTAAGACTCTGGTCCAAAACAAACGTGTAGGTGGCCATGCTCACACAACAGTGCAATAAAGACATAAGCCTTGTTATAACACAATGCAACAATATGGTGATGTTAATGGCAGCCAAGCATGCACTTATGACAACTCTACTTTCTTCAACCAGACGACTGCCAAGGGCCACTACTTTGAGAAGGAGATCATGCTGCAGTACTGTTACCCTCGGCTTGATGTGAACGTCAGTAAAGGAGTCAACCACTTGCTGAAGAGCCCCTTCAGCGTCCATCCCAAAACAGGTAAGGAAAAACTCATGAAGTGCAAGAGTAATGCTTGAAACATGACAGACGTTTAACCCAAATGTTGCCTGTGAAAGAAACGGTCAAAGGACGCTCTCATTCAACTGAGGGAGATACTCTTAGGATGTCATTAGCCCAACACTCAACAACACCTTTCCTCCCTGTTCCTTACTTTGCCAAAGGGCGGATCTCTGTTCCTATTGACCTGAGAGAACTGGATCGCTTTGACCCCTTTGATGTGCCCACTATCAGGTAAGCCCTACTCAGTCAATTTGTCATAATAAGAACTTTGTAAAGAGCTTTACAAATTCAAAATGTATTCCCAAAGCGCTAAACACAAAGTTTGTATGTGTGGCGTCCCTGTGGTTCTTCTCAGTTGGTATACTCACCGGTCCTGTTATTGTATCTCCCTGTAGTCTGATCTGTGAGGAGCTGGATCGGCCCAAGACAGCAGAGGAGGAAGAGGAGAAGGAAGACACCGATGAGAATGAGAGAGAAGCAGGAGAGCGACGGAAGAGAAGAGGTATTCAAAAAGACGAGTGCAATTAATCACTAAGAGAACCAAGGGATCTGATATTCATTTGTTCATTGCATGTTGATTTGACTAACACAAATGTTCTGGTTCCATAGACTACAAACAAACAAGCTTGGCGAAGTATGTGAAACTGTTTGATCAATTCCTGGAAGGGATGGCTCGCTCATGGAAAGGGGAGCATCTTAAAAAGAGTGGTGAGTGTAATTCAAGTCCTTAGTGGAAGAATACAATTGTTAGTATGAACATTCAGATCTAAAAGATTTGATCATGGCTTTTTTTCTCAATTTCTTTTCACAGATCTTCAAAAGGACTTCTAACCCTGAGCAGTGTCCAACGGATTAATGGCTGTTGCTGGGATTGGTACCTACAATGGTTGGCTAATCTTAAACAAGCCCATCATATCAGTTGTTCATAATCTGACAGTTAAAGATGGAGAACACACATTACAGATACTGTAAACAAATGGTCTGTTTGAGAATTGTCATGCAAATATTTTACTCTATCAACGATTTAAAATCACAGTTGTGCAAAACTTTTATGTAGCCTGTTGTTTTCTAATTAAAATGACTTCATACTACAGTTTGTTTCAATATATTTAGTGTGTCATGAGAGAGTCAAGGATAGAGCAGGCATGATCAAGTCACACAAAAACATAACTTTTGATATGCTGGCAGGTAGGGTTAACATTTCCCACCATAGGATCTTCACTTTTCCAATAATGGGGTTGAAAATACATAGACAAGTAGCTATTTATATAACAGAAGAAAAACGTATGCAAGGATACACCAGAGATGTATTCGTTTTTTTGTTTGTTGTAAAACCACCACTTGGGAACACGAACGACCCGGAAGACGTTAGTGCAAAATGTGATATCGGGAGACGGGAGGTCATAAAATCTCTCTTACAACCATCTTGGATATAGAATCCAAACTCGGTGAGTGTCTCTGCCGCTAATCCAACCTCATCTAACCATTTATCGTCCTTTAAATTATTTAAAACAGGGCTCTGATAGTACATGAGAGGTTTGTCATACCCATTATGTGGATATTTTATCCATATCATTATCTGTACACATAAATATTCACTTATGTTGTCGATCTCTGGTACAAAATGGGGGAACATGACTGCCCACATTTGCTAACGTTGTTGCTAACTGGTACAGGCTTGGTTTCTTTCATGTGACACGCCAGTTGAGAACACTGAGGACGAATTTGAAATGTTACGTGTGGTGCAACTTGTGTAGTGTTCAGTGGAAGTTGTCAGTGAGCCAACCTATGAAAATATCTTTTACAGCACACGTCCAGCTAATGTTAACTAGATTCAAGCAAAGCTTGTTCGAAAGTGAGAGTACCGCTAGCTAACTACATAATCTGTTACGGTTTTCTTTGTAGACTATAAAAGTTGGGTCTCTACGATTATTGCTGTGACGTTATATTAAACAGCGTTGTTTTCGTCCATTTATCTTCTGATTTGCAGCGTGCCTTAACATTAGCTAGATAACGTTAATCCCTTTAAAGTGGCTAGTTAGCTTGCTAACTAGGGAATGTGTCATTACATTAGCAACACGTGAAACACGCAGAAGTTAACGTTTGAGTTCTAAATTAAAATGGCTTATTGGCTAACCACTATCCAGTTACCTCACTCACTGTCAGTAAGTACGTAGCCAATATTTGACAGTATCAGTCGGTCACAGTGAGTATAATCTGCTATACTAGTAGTTTGTATTTAGCTGGGAATTATTGAAATTTGAACGCAGTGGGAGAATCTCAATGTCATACTTCTCGCGACCTCTTTCTCAAAACCCATTGGATGCGAGCGCCAGAGGTCCCTCCCCTCTGACCTCCTTCAAATCGTTTTGAGATGGAGGCGAGGAAAGAGGACTCGGAAGTGTGCAATTTAGGGTCTCTCTGAGACATTGAGTACGGTTACATGCACACAATAATGCGGTTATTGTGGATAGTCAGATTAATATAATAGTTCGATTCAAAACGTATACATGCTTTGCAAGAAGAACGATTCACCTAATAATCCTGTTTACATGGACACATCTGAAATCGGGCTACCTCATGACACTGATAAATGCAGAAAATCGCCAATCAAAAAAACGTCCTACCACAGCGAACTTTTATTTATTTATATTTATTTAACCACAGAGAACATTGTTATTTTTGGGAAGCAGATTTGATTGAGTTCGGAAATCTAAAGTTTGTGAAAACTGCTTCTACTACGCATTCATTCAGTTGTTCTGAACTCACTTCACTCAGCACTAAAGAGGGAGTCTCGCTCAGCTGGTGCTAGCACATACACAGATCAAATACACCACTGGGAATGCCGATTTAAGGTGTTTACATGTCCAAATAATTTGAAAGATTGCTCAGAAAACCAGATGCTTTAATCGGTGTATACTTCGATTTGGACCTTATGCCGATTTTAAGATAAGCAGAGTAAGGTGTTTACATGACTATTGCATAATCTGTTTACTGCCATAACCAGTTTAATATCGAATTACTACTATGCATGTTAATGTATCATTGAATCCAGTTCCTACTACTACACTTTTTAGTCATTGCTCTCTATGCATTTACCTAGTCAATGTGAGACATGTAAAAGTATCTAGTAAGTTGTCTGTATTTATTCATGCCATGTCAGTTATTCCTGGTGAGTCATTCCTTGAGTTCTGATTTCAGACACAAGCATGCCTGGTGAAGCCACAGAGACGGTCCCGGTCACTGAGCAGGAGATGCAGCAGCCACAAGTTGAGACTGGTTTGTATAGCATTATTATATCACACTTGCATGCTAAGATACTAAACTGCAGGGCTAATGGGGTCCTGGAACTCAAACACTGCAGTAGCAAATTCAACAGCAGCAGTGCTTGTTGGACGTAGTGACCTGAAGTAATATTCCCCCAGTGGAGTTGTGGCTGTTACTTGAGAGCTCTATATTAATTGTACTCCTTCGGGAAAGGTAGCACTCATCAGTTGTCAAGCAGGGGACACTGCTGTAGAATGACACTTTTGGTGACATTCACTTGGAGACATTCACTTGGAGCTGTTTTCCCTGGTTCACCTGCTGAGTCCAGCTTTACACATATTCTCAGCATATATAGGGAGATGTGTTGTCAGGTTTCTTTTAAGGGGGAGGGTGGGCTGATCAGCTGAGAGATCATATACAGTGAGGTCCAAAAGTATTTGGACAGTGACAAATGTTTTGTTTTGGCTCTGTACTCCAGCACTTTGAAATGATACAATGACTGAGTGCAGACTGTTAGCTTAAATTTTAGGGTATTTTCATCCATACCTGTTGAACCGTTTAGAAATTATGTTCCCCATTTTAGGGAACAAAAATATTTGGTCCCATATTCCTAGCAACCAATAAGTGTTTCCCCTGTATTCATTTAGCAGAGGCGCACTGCTGTAATTTCTAAACAGTTCAACCAATATGGATGAAAATACCGTCAAATTAAAGCTGACAGTCTGAACTTTTTAAAATCCAAAGGCCTTGACTACAGTGGGGGGGAAAAAGTATTTAGTCAGCCACCAATTGTGCAAGTTCTCCCACTTAAAAAGATGAGAGAGGCCTGTAATTTTCATCATAGTTACACGTCAACTATGACAGACAAAATGAGGGGGAAAAAATCCAGAAAATCACATTGTAGGATTTTTAATGAATTTATTTGCAAATTATGGTGGAAAATAAGTATTTGGTCACCTACAAACAAGCAAGATTTCTGGCTCTCACAGACCTGTAACTTCTTCTTTAAGAGGCTCCTCTGTCCCACACGGGGGGACCTAGTGAATGACCTGCAGAGAGCTGGGACCAAAGTAACAAAGCCTACCATCAGTAACACACTACGCCGCCAGGGACTCAAATCCTGCAGTGCCAGACTTGTCCCCCTGCTTAAGCCAGTACATGTCCAGGCCCATCTGAAGTTTGCTAGAGTGCATTTGGATGATCCATAAGAGGATTGGGAGAATGTCATATGGTCAGATGAAACCAAAATAGAACTTTTTGTTAAAAACTCAACTCGTCGTGTTTGGAGGACAAAGAATGCTGAGTTGCATCCAAAGAACACCATACCTACTGTGAAGCATGGGGGTGGAAACATCATGCTTTGGGGCTGTTTTTCTGCAAAGGGACCAGGACGACTGATCCGTGTAAAGGAAAGAATGAATGGGGCCATGTATCGTGAGATTTTGAGTGAAAACCTCCTTCCATCAGCAAGGGCATTGAAGATGAAACGTGGCTGGGTCTTTCAGCATGACAGTGATCCCAAACACACCGCCCGGGCAACGAAGGAGTGGCTTCGTAAGAAGCATTTCAAGGTCCTGGAGTGGCCTAGCCAGTCTCCAGATCTCAACCCCATAGAAAATCTTTGGAGGGAGTTGGAAGTCCGTGTTGCCCAGCGACAGCCCCAAAACATCACTGCTCTAGAGGAGATCTGCATGGAGGAATGGGCCAAAATACCAGCAACAGTGTGTGAAAACCTTGTGAAGACTTACAGAAAACGTTTGACCTGTGTCATTGCCAACAAAGGGTATATAACAAAGTATTGAGAAACTTTTGTTATTGTCCAAATACTTATTTTCCACCATAATTTGCAAATAAATTCATTAAAAATCTATACAATGTGATTTTCTGGATTTTTTTTTCCTCCTTTTGTCTGTCATAGTTGACGTGTACCTATGATGAAAATTACAGGCCTCATCTTTTTAAGTGGGAGAACTTGCACAATTGGTGGCTGACTAAATACTTTTTTCCCCCACTGTACAGGGCCAAAACACTGTCCAAATACTTTTTGACCTCCCTGTATAAACCATGGCCTGTAGATTATAATCCTGGGGGGCTACTCTGACTCAATCCACAACTTCCTAAGTAGAAACTTTTTTATTTATTTATGTATTTTTTACTTTGAAGTGAGTAGCCCTCTAGGAATATGTTTGGCAAGGCCAGTCATCGACTCACTTTGCATTAATGTTGAAATAAGGGTGTGGGAACAATTTTAGGGACTTGAGATGGCTTTTTTTAATGGTGGTTGTCTTGAATTTCACTGCAGCTCAAATGGGTTATCCAGGACCCCTTATTTACTGAAACCCACTGACAACCGCCTGTGTTGAATGTTACTGCATCGACAACTGGGTTGTGAAACACTTTCTAATGCATGGGTATTGATGTAGTCGCCTTGCGCATGGAACAATTTAAAGAAACATCTTGCACGCATGAATTATACTGAAGAAAAATATAAACTGAACAATTTCAACCATTTTACTGAGTTACAGTTCATATAAGGAAATCAGTAAATTGAAATCAATTAATTAGGCCCTAATCTATGGATTTCACATGACTGGGCATGGGTCCAGCCATGGGTGGGCCTGGGAGGGCATTTTAGTGGCCTTTGATTGTCCCCAGCACAAGGTGCACCTGTGTAATGATCATGCTGGTTAATCAGCTTCTTGATACTCCACACCTGTCAGGTGGATGGATTATCTTGGCAAAGGAGAAATGCTCACTAACAGGTATAAACTAATTTTTGCACACAATTTGAGCAAAATAAGCCTTTTGTGCATATGGAACATTTCTGGGATCTTTCATTTCAGTTCATGAAACATAGGACCAGCACTTTACATGTTGCGTTTTATATTTTTGTTCAGTATACATTATACAATTTTATTAGCAACCTTGGCATAAAAGAGTGGCACTGACATACAGCAGTAAGAATTCCTTTTGCTTCTGGAAAATATATATTTTGTTTTTATACCAGCTTTATTTTTTTAAATATTCACACCTACATTCTCATTGACCATGTTAAGTATCTGTTGGTTATTTTCTGTTTATGTATTTTATCTCAAATTCCAGCATTTTCTTTAATTTGATGGTAATGATAACGATTGCAGGCCTTTTTATGGCATTGATTTGACTAAATGTTTGATGGCAAAAGTAAGCTGCTTCTGTGAAGCAGCTTATGGAGCTTTATTTTCAAGTAATTTAAGAAACATTGGTTTTGAATGGAATTGGTATTGATGATTTTCTTAAAGCATTCTCTCATTCATTTTCATGCTGCAACAAACAAAATTCTGATTAGTATAACAAAGATGCGTCAATATGCAAGTGGAGATAATTAGTGACACTTAAGGATTTCCTTACTACCAAGCCCTGTACCAGAAGAGTGAAGTGTTGAAAACCACGAAGGTTGTTATAAGCAGATGAATATCCATGTTTCCTGAAGAGACTACGAGTTGGAGCTGGTGAAGGCCACATATTGCTTTTGAAGACCACTGGTCATGAAGATGGTGCATGTGCAGCCGAAGAAGGTGCATGTGCTGAACAAGTGAAGACATTTTTTACATTTACATTTACGTCATTTAGCAGACGCTCTTATCCAGAGCGACTTACAAATTACACACTAATATGACCCCTCTGTAGAAAGGGGAGTGTCTCACGAACAAGTACTTCGGTTGTTTTGCTCTAGGACACCCATAAACCTCCCAAGACTAGTCTGAAGGTAACCGGGTACCAGTTTTATTTATTTATTATGGAAGTAAATATGGAGATAGTTCAGTGGCTAAAATAAGGGGTTATATTTGCCTACCGATCAACAACATTTGCATAGAAGCATCACTCCAGTATGTCATGCCTGTTTGGAAAGACATCATATAGGCACCTGCTGTTAGTTTGAGAATATAAAAGAACATCTATTCAATGCAAATGAGTCCAACGTAATGTCATGATTTGTGATTACTGCTGCTTATGAAACTACATTTTTACATTTTAGTCATTTGGCAGAAGCTCTTATCCAGAGCGACTTACAGTAGTGAGTGCATACATTTTTCATACTTTTTCCAAACTGGTCCCCCGTGGGAACCGAACTAGGATTTTTTTTGGTCATTTTCAGTGATAGGGAAAAAGTTATTTTTTCAGCTGTCAGGACACATCTCTAAACAATTCAGCTGCCAGGAGGAAATTCAAAACAATTGGCTAGTTCAGCTATCTGTCAAGAAATGGGCGGGTTGATCCTACCGCTACGATTGGATAGAGCGAGGCTGTAACGCTGCTTCCTTTCACATCTCTCCATTGGCTCATATCACTTGCTGCGGTTTACTGCTACTGTGAGAACTAGCTCAATGGCGATGACATTTGCTACCAAGCCATAAATGTGCATAATATCTAACAAGTAGAGCGGGGTAGAAAAAAAGCACACCATGCCGTCTGACGAATGATCAAAAATAGTTGAGAAGAGAACGCCACGCGCGATCTACAGCTTCTGGTCCAACTGCAGGGATATTTTTGTTAGTAAACCTATTGCCAACCTTTATTTGGCATTTAACCTCCTCTTCTGACAATCACAATCCGACTATCAACTGTCAATTTACGTACGATTACACTGTTCAGACACCTCCAGTAAATGCAATGTCACACCTCAATCAGACGGTTCGTTCAAATTCTATTTAGCTGCTACGTTGGCGATCATCAATTGATATCTATCACCACTATCCCAGACTACCGATATTGATTGGAGAAGTTCCTGGATGTTCAGTATCACAGGTGCCTGTTAATGAAGTTGCTGAGACACTACAGTACAGGATTTATGGAGCAAGCCCACATAGGTTTGCAGGTAATTACTTAGTGTTGCTAGTGGAAACACCATAGGTGTCGGCTGATAAATGAGAACTGTTAGCTATGACCACAGGGGAAGACTTTAGGAATGACTGTTAATGTTAGACTGTTGAAAAAGCGGTAAATTGTTTTTGTTCAGCAAGGAAGACTGCGTTGTTCCAGAAAAGTGTTGAAAATCGTCTTGGGGATTTTGGTTAAATTGCATGAAATGGATGAGAAAATGTTTAGATTTTGCCTTTCAATTCTAGTTATTTGACTGTAATTCAGATAAGGTTATCAAATTGCCTCATATCAAACAGAATAGCAACCTATTAAATCTAAATTGACTAATTCAAAAGTTTTCAATAGTGGTTCAGTGTGCATAATTGTCTCTGTCGTAAGACTCTTTTCACTGAGAAATATTATATGTCATTAGGGTTTGTAGATGTATTGAATGCTACTCTTCGTGGGTTTCCACCCACTTTCGGTCTTAAGGTTTTTCCAACTACACTTTTGTGCATTTAGGCACTGCATGGTAACTGGGACATGGGCACAAGTTTGGTTTTGTGGTACACACAACATTCACCCATTCTTGGATCACTTATAACAAACGGAAAGCTGATGTCTGCATCCTTGAACAACCTCGCAAACACCTTGGTTCAACTGAATTGATACACTACATGACCAAAAGTATGTGGACACCTGCTAGTCGAACATCTCATCCCAAAATCAATGGGCATTAATATGGAGTTGGTCCCCGCTTTGCTCCTAGAACAGCCAGCACTCTTCTGGGAAGGATTTCCACTAGATGTTGGAACATTGCTGCGGGGACTTGCTTCCATTCAGCCACAAGAGCATAAGTGAGGTCGAGCACTGATGTTGGGCGATTCATTCCAAAGGCGTTCGATGGGGTTGAGGTCAGGGCTCTGTGCAGGCCAGTCAAGTTCTTCCACACCGATCTCGACAATCTATTTCTGTATGGACCTAGCTTTGTGCACGGGGGCATTGTCATGCTGAAACAGGAAAGGGCCTTCCCCAAACTGTTGCCACAAAGTTGGAAACACAATTGTGTAGAATGTCATTCTATGCTGTAGCGTTAAGATTTCCCTTCACTGGAACTAAGGGGCCTAGCCCAAACCATTAAAAAAATGCCCAGACCATTATTCCTCCGCCACCAAACTTGGCACTATGCATTGGCAGGTAGCGTTTTCCTGGCATCCGCCAAACCCAGATTTGTCTGTCGGACGGCCAGATGGTGAAGCGTGATTCATCACTCCAGAGAACGCATTTCCACTGCTCCAGAGTCCAATGGTGGCGAGCTTTACACCACCTCAGCCGAAGCTTGGCATTTCGCATGGTGATCTTAGGCTTGTATGCGGATGCTCGGCCATGGAAACCCATTCCCGACGAACGGTTCTTATGCTGACGTTGCTTCCAGAGGCAGTTTGGAGCTGAGTGTTGCAACCGAGGACAGATGACCACTTTGCGGCTGAGCCGTTGTTGCTCTTCGACGTTTCCACTTCACAATAACAGCACTTACAGTTGACCGGGCAGCTTTAGCAGGGCAGAAATTTGTCTATGGAGATTGTATGGCTGTGTGCTTGATTTTATACACCTGTCAGCAACGGGTGTGGCTGAAATAGCCGAATTCACTAATTTGAAGGGGTGTCCACATACTTTTGTGTAGATGTAGATCACAACCCCATTTCTAAAAATGTACTCATTCAATTGTTTCCTCTTAATATTTTGTGTCATATAATCAAAACATTTGGACTCCAACTTCCTCATGTTGGTAAAAGTATCTTGTATAGGAAAGTACCATTATTGTAGCTAGACTTTCTTAAACGAGGGGTTAACTCATTTTGATCATATGCTTAAAAAAACCGTTATTGTAAGCTTATCAACCGCTCCTCACACTTGCTGTGACTACCCCTTGCTGCTCCTTCCGCTCCTCCTTTCCTTCCTATCAGCTCCAGGGGTGTTGAGTTCCTCTGCTCCCCCTGAGATGGCTGTGTCTGACGTGACCAAGGAGAGTCCTGTGCCTCTAGAAGCCTCCACTGTTCTTCCAGAGATCGAATCCCAACCAGTGTCAGAAATGGCTTCAGGAGATGCATCTAGTGGACAACTTAATGGCGTAGGAGCAACACCTGAAGTTAGAGCAACCGTTGTTGAAGAACGTATAGCAATTGCTGAACAACAGGTCACCCAAGCACCAGAAGAGGTCATCATTCAAGATTCAGCTGACGTTACAGAGGCTACCGTGGCAGCCACTGAAGATGCTGTGGCTGCTGAACCCGTGGCAGTGGCTGCTGAACCCGTGGCAGTGGCTGCTGAACCCGTGGCAGTGGCTGAAGAACCCGTGGCAGTGGCTGAAGAACCCGTGGCAGTGGCTGAAGAGACTCCGGTCCAAGAACCAGCACCTGCTGCTAAAGAGCCAATCGTAGACACAATTGATGGGATGGCACGTGTAACTCCAGAAGTCCCCCCTGAGCCTGCAGTCGAGACGATCACTGAAGACTTTAAGACTGTGAGTTTGGATCCAGCTCCTGATGATGCCGTACTATGCACTGAAGTGGCCAGCTTGGACACTGGGGCCACAGAACCTGAACCACTGTCTGCTGATATGACCATTGACACCGCCATATTAAACGAAACTCCTGTTGAGAAAGAACCAATTGCGGCCTGCTCTGAGGCCGTCCAGACGAAGGTGATGTCAAATCGTGCGGTCCCGACCATCTCCACCCGTCTCCTGTCAGGTGGGTCATTTTGTGTGCACAGTTAAAGCTGCTTTTTCCCCCTCTTACAGCAGCTTCCCCTTTTCAGACATTTTGTCTCTCTTATACTTGCAAACTTCTGCACCAATGCTGGGCCTAGATTTGCCTTTTCAAATGTTATGTTTTGCCACATTTTTTATTTATTATATTATGCTTGATGAAAAGGGGCTTATGTTGAGAAATATGAAGAGATTTTCAATTACATTTTCTTTTAGGGCTTGTTATTATCATGATTATCATTGGCTCTCAATTTTCTCTTGCGTCACTGTTTAAACTCAGTGTTTCACCTTGAAACAGGCCAGTCCATTTAGGCACTTAATGTAAAGAACTGACTTCCAGCAACTTTTTCCTCTTGTCATCAGATGTTGACTGTCCTTTGACTAGTCTATTTCCATCTCTCTTCCTTCTCTGGGCTTATTGGTGTTTATCAGGAAGAATGCACCAATCCAACTGTGTTGATGTGCTCTAACTGCAATATCTGTTTTTAACACTGGTATTTGTATCCAATGAGGGTGGGTAGGGAGGGGTCCTTGTTCCAATTATGGCTTTTTGTTCATTGCAGTACACCTTTTTACTACTCGCTAGCCACATTTAATCCGTTGTGGATTGTTTTAATTTAATATATGAAATTGGTCATGTTTCAATTAAATAACGATTGCTTTTATTTGTATCTATACTATAGCCCAACTTTTAAACTTGGTCGTAAACCATAATTTGTCATTTTACCTTCAAAATGAACAATATCACACCTCATCACTGGAAAAAAAAAAAAAAATTTATGTCATTGGTTACGATCTCGTTCAGTCGATTTAACAATTTCAGGTAATGGATGTTAGTGGGATGAATTTGTCTAAGTGTGAACCCATTAGGGAGCTTAGGTCAAACAATGCATAGCATTGTTTATAACCGCTACAGTTCCTTAGAATTTGACCTGTCATTCCACTGTCACAAATTTATTTTAGTGTAAATAGTGCCACGCTTTGCCAATGCATTTGCCACACTTTCCTCTGCACTGAGTGGGATCCTCAATTTGAATCTCTGGTTATAAAATTGCAGTAACGCTGTAGAAAATGTCATGTGTGGGTCTGTGCTTGGACCAAGTAGATGTTTGTGTTTTTAACTTTAGGTTGTCAGTTGTGGTTTTGCCTGAATACTTGAATTGTAGTGTGCATTGAGTTTGCTGCCCTGCAACAAATCCTTCCATTTCGGAAATAAGGTTGGTGTGGTGTTCATTTTCCTAACCCTGGAGTTTTTAGGTAACATTGCCTTGTGTGTTCTGATCTTTTAACCCGCATGGTTCAGGCTTTGACTTCCTTCCAAATATTAAACAAACATATTTGTTTCATTCAGCCGCACTCTCTGGCCCTGCAAGTGTGGCTACCTCCCTGGAACCCCAGGCTGCTTCTGGCCCTGCCAAGCCCAAAGGCAAAGAGGCCAAGGGTGGCTCTGCCCCTAAGGCTGTCCCTGGCAGAAGAAAAAAGTCCTCGATGTCTGCCTCCTCTGCTTCTCCAACCTCCCCAAAGCCCTCCTCCTTAGCTACCTCACCTGGGGCCCCTGGAGCTCCCAGCCAGGGTAACCGTGCCGTCCCAAAGGTTGTAAAGGCTGGCAAACAAGGAAAGGCTAAGAAAGAGGCTTTCAAGCCTGCTGCTGACCTGCCAGCCCCAGCTGAGGCTCCTGCCCCCACAGAGGCCAAACCTGTGCCTATTGAGCCTAAAGCTGCTCCTGCACCAGTAGTGGCCATGCCAGCACCTGTTGCTGCAGAGCCTGCACCTGCCTCACCCATCACTCCCAAGCCTGTGGCATCCCCTGTGGCCTTCAAAGTGACCTCAAAGCCTGCTGCATCAGCCCCTATGTCATTTGCTGATGCTGTTGCCTCTAGCCCCTCTAAAGCTGCCCCTGAAATGCCCATGGCCAAGGCAGCCCCTGCACCAGCTAAGCCTGCTCTGGAGGATGATGACCTTCCACCTCTCATTCCACCAGAGGAGCCAGTAAAGATGCCAGTCTTCTCACCCCCTACAGTAGTAGAGGCTCCTAAGCCTGCCCCAGTTGCTTCTCCAGCTCCCCCTAAACCAGCTCCAGTTAAGCCCGTTGTAGCTGCTCCCCCTAAACCAGCTCCAGTTAAGCCCGTTGTAGCTGCTCCCCCTAAACCAGCTCCAGTTGAGCCCGTTGTAGCTGCTCCAGCTAAACCAGCTCCAGTTAAGCCCGTTGTAGCTGCTCCAGCTAAACCAGCTCCAGTTGAGCCCGTTGTAGCTGCTCCAGCTAAACCAGCTCCAGTTAAGCCCGTTGTAGCTGCTCCAGCTAAACCAGCTCCAGTTGAGCCCGTTGTAGCTGCTCCAGCTAAACCAGCTCCAGTTAAGCCCGTTGTAGCTGCTCCCCCTAAACCAGCTCCAGTTAAGCCCGTTGTAGCTGCACCAGCTAAACCAGCTCCAGTTAAGCCCGTTGTAGCTGCACCAGCTCCATCTAAACCAGCTCCAGTTAAGCCTGTTGTAGCTGCACCAGCTAAACCAGCTCCAGTTAAGCCCGTTGTAGCTGCACCAGCTCCATCTAAACCAGCTCCAGTTAAGCCTGTTGTAGCTGCACCAGCTAAACCCGTTGTAGCTGCACCAGCTAAACCAGCTCCAGTTAAGCCCGTTGTAGCTGCACCAGCTCCGACTAAACCTGCCCCAACTGAGCCCGTTGTAGCAGCACCAGCTCCCTTTAAACCTGCCCCAGCTGAGCCCGTTGTAGCAGCACCAGCTCCCTTTAAGCCTGTGCCAGTTGAGCCCGTTGTAGCTTCCCCTAAGCCTGCTGAAGTAGCCATTGTACCACCACCTGTTTCAAAACCTGCCCCTACCCCTGCTAAAACCCCAACCAAACCGGAGCCTGTGACCAAGAATGAGGGTATTTCTTCTTCCTTTCTCTCTGTCTCCTGTGTCCCCTCTGTTTGCCTGCCAATGTTGAGTTCTGTGGCCCATTCACTGGCTTGCTCAAGTGTCTCTTCCCTCTTCTTCAGGTTTGAGATAAAGTAGAGATTGTAGTAGTCTGTGTATTAGATTTGCTTCAAATGTAACCTCCAAACTGGCCTGTTTCAAAGATTAATGTAGTTATTGGAGCTATTGATAGATTGGTGAATCAGTGCTCCCACGAGTGCCATTTTGTTATTTTAGATGATAATTTAAAGCGGTAATCAGCAGTAGAAACGGTAAGCGGCCTCCCCACCCCTGGTTCGGTTAAAAGCTGAGGGATGGGGCTGGAGAAATGTAATCACTCTCAAATTCATAGACGGGGCTACGGATACAAGGATTTGACCGTCCATGATATCAAAATTACAGATTTAACCATGTTTTGAGGCTATATAGTGTTTGTTTACATTTTCTTTCTTTACAAACATTGGAGTAAAAAAGCTTATTTTGGGTTCCGATGGGGTAGGACAGTTGAACTAAGCTCATGAAGCATTTATAAGTTATGTTCTTCAAGAATCAATGGGTACATATTATTCATTTATAAGTCAAATTGATGTCGCAACTGCTGATTGCCCCTTTAAATGTGTACTTTCAAACCAAAAGGTTCCAGTTGGCATGTTTTGCCTCCCATCAAGATGCATGTTAAAGGTTCAAATTATGTAAATGTTCTCAAATTCCCTACTATTATATAATTGGTTTTTGGATGTTTTTCCCGTCAATTATACAGTTAATTGATATCATGGGGGGGGGGGTCGTCAATGTCATTATGATCCATTTTTAAATCTGTATGACTAGGGCAACATTTTACCATAAGATTCTTTAACATTTATTTATAAGCAGGTCTGTTAATTTGTACACTGACTTTTCTTTAACCTCATCCACATATAACCATTTTTATTCTTTCAGTGCCTCAAATTAATAGGTTAGATTCACTTACCACCAACAAATGTTGTGCTCATTCAACGTCTCAATTTGTATTGGTCTCGGTGCCTTAAACAGACTTTGCTCAGTTAAATTACCCATGCAATTACAATTCTCCGGTCTTACACAGGCGCTACTGTAGGAGAACTGGTTACCTGCTGCTCAGGCATCTGCCTGTGACAGCCTGTATAATGTGACTAATGCTTGTTTCTCTGTGGGGTGCTTACAGGGTCTGGCACTGAATCGGACAGCGACGAGTCGGTACCAGATCTGGAGGAACAGGACTCCGCACAGACACAGCAAGCACAGGTAAGACTGCCTGAACAGGTGTCTGGTAGGGCACGGATAGGATTAACTGCTTATATATTACATGGGTGTGATACAGTAAACAGTCCCTCCAGGATTCTGCGATCGCAATTTTATTTAGCAAAATCAACAATTTCCCACACTATTTCCGCATAAAGAGTCAAATCGTCGCAATATTATCGCATAAAAATGACCCTTCACCGCAGTACAAAAAGAGGGCTCGCAATTTCAACCAATCACTGCACATTTCCATCATAAGGTAAAATCAAACCAGACGTCAACAATCTTTTTCCCTCATCAGCGCATTTTCGCGACAGTGGACAATAATTGCATATTGCCATGCAAAATGTCAGAACTGCCGCAGCAAAATCTAGCATTTTGGCCCGCAAATATCTCTAAGAAATCTCAGCAACATCCTGGAGGGACTGAGTAAACACCTGCACTGCACTCACAACATGATTAGAACCCCTGAGTATCTATTTAAGAATAATAGATCCTTGACTCTTCAGTGATGATTGATACAGTGACTTTCGTTCTTCTGAGTCTACTGAAGCCAACCTTTCTGTCCTGAGAAGAGAAAAGGCCAAAGGGATACTTTCATTTGTTTTATTTTCACCATTCATACCATTGTCTTACATATGGGTGGAATTGTTGGTCTCACTCTCAAACCTTGACTGCCATTTAAAGGGGGATAAATGTATTTTTTCCACAGCTTGCAGCTGCTGCAGAAATAGATGAGGAACCCGTTAGCAAAGCCAAACAGAGCCGTAGTGAAAAGAAGGCACGAAAGGTAACTAGCTTCAAAAACTATCTGGACTTTATCAAATTTTCATTAGACATTCCCATCTTAAAAGAATACGTTGAATAATTTCAATTACTATGCCACCTTTTAACTATCCATTGTATAGTATAAACAATGGATAGTTAAAGGAGGACGGTTCCAGTCAAAATAAAACATAACCCATGATTGTTTGCTTTTCTTCAGGCAATGTCTAAGCTGGGTCTCAGGCAGGTGACTGGGGTCACCAGGGTTACCATTCGCAAGTCTAAGAACATCCTGTTCGTCATCACCAAACCAGATGTCTACAAGAGCCCTGCATCAGACACTTACATTGTCTTTGGTGAGGCTAAGGTAAGATAGATCCAGGATACCGTTTTTGAATTTTATTTTCTGATCCCCTTTCAAATCTAAAATGCTATAGGCATTGTTCCATCTAGTCTAGACTGCTCTTTCAAGATACCCTTGTAGTATGCGATTTCTGGTTATCCGTCAAATATGCAGTGTAATGTCCTTCGACCAAGGTGTTGGTGTTCTTGCCAAAGGATGCAGCACTGATATCTCTGTCCGTTTCTCTCCCTTTGTTTCTCAGATCGAGGATCTCTCACAGCAAGCCCAGTTGGCAGCGGCAGAGAAGTTCAAGGTACAGGGAGAAGCTGTGTCGAACATCCAGGAAAACACACAGACGCCTACCGTACAGGAGGAGAGCGAAGAGGAAGAGGTGAGGGCCTTGAGGGGTGAAAAAGTGACCATACAATCGACAGGAGTTTAATTTATTTTCAGTGATGATTGATACAGTGACTTTCGTTCTTCTGAGTCTACTGAAGCCAACCTTTCTGTCCTGAGAAGAGAAAAGCAGTGTTAACTATGATGGGGCTTAGTTTGTACATGATCAAAAACCAGGCACCATATGTTTTGTTGTCCATTAGATTGTATAGCTCTTGTTTGCCACAAATAATTTGCATGTAGTTTGATCATAGTAGTCTCCCATGCACAATGGGGTCATTTATGGGCCCGATCCAAAAGCCCAATTCCCCTGGAGATGTCAGTGAATTGCATTGCGAGTTGACTGTCAAATGTATATGTACTAATGCTTTGTCTCGATGCATAGGTTGACGAGACCGGGGTCGAGGTGAAGGACATTGAACTTGTGATGTCACAAGCCAACGTGTCGCGAGCGAAGGCTGTACGCGCCCTGAAAAACAACAACAACGATATTGTCAATGCTATTATGGTAAGTCTTTTTTACCACACAATTCCCCTTGTCACCAGACAAAATATTATCTGGCACAAGGTCCCTTCACTCCAAATATTTGTGGATTTGAATTGTGACCTGTGTCCCAAGTTCCCATGGGATCTACCAGCAGGAAATCCTTTCTCTTCAGTGATGATTGATACAGTGACTTTCGTTCTTCTGAGTTTACTGAAGCCAACCTTTCTGTCCTGAGAAGAGAAAAGCAGTGTTAACTATGATGGGGCTTAGTTTGTACATGCATCAACACATTGTATTCTTATTTTCACAGGAATTGACGATGTAGGCTGCTGAAGTCGAAGGAGTTCTGAAAGGTTGCTGATTTAATCTACTATCGTTGGTACAATTTATACCAAAGATGGAAATAAAGTTGTGGCTTGGTAAATTGAATGCGGTTTCCCTCTGTATTGACCTTCGTTTTGTGAAATTATGCATCTGACACGTCTCCAAGGGATTTGTCTGAACAGGGATATTGAATACAGTTGAGTCCTTATAGGTGTAAACTCTGCTCAGTCCCTCGGGTGAAATAATATTGTAAGACTGGATATATGTTATCATTGCTCTAGTTCAATCTACATTCTACACACAGGAGTGTACCACAGATTTAAGTCTGAAGGTTTGAGTTTAATGAGCTGGTGCTGGAAATCTCTGCTGCTATGACTAATCGGAAGACATCAAGTGTAAACTGCCCCTCTGAGTTACTGATGAAACAAGGAAGCTGTGTCATGCACTCAGGAAAGGTGTGGAAGGTAGGTAATGGGAATGTAAATTGTAGTGTGATATTTTGGGGACATTAGCATTAGAATGTAATGAATTTGGTATCCTGGAATAGCTGACTGATCCTATGATAATACACCAGGCATCAACCCAGTGTTTCAAAGAGTAGGTATGTTAACTATTGATACAGGGTGTTTCTCCATACACCCTAATGATAATGGCTAGGAATAGAGTATTCTTATGTCTGTAAGTGGGCGTGTCCTCTCGCGTGAGCATGCGTTTCCGTGAGCTCACGGTTCTGCCCAGTCGTTGCTGAAGATCTAATGCAGCGTTCATATGCTAGTCGGAACTAGGAAACACTAAAATGTTCCAACATGCTGAATTGTTGAACGCGGCACATGTATAACCTACAACCAGTTAGCATGTCTGAAATGTCCAAGTTTCCTAGTTCCGACTATCACTTGAATGCCGTATTATGCCTGGATAGGTATTTTACGTATCAGCTAACCACATGTTATAGCAATCTGTCAATCGATGACACAGTCGATGACGTAGCACGCAACCATTGCTTGATGCATGCGACATCATCCTCCGCGAGGCGGGGGTAATACATACACCAGAGCGGCCCCGACACGATAAAAAAAAATTAGGGTGTGATACGTTTCGCTTCCTCAACTGTCGCTTGTGAGCAGGGTTGCCAATTCGGATATTTTGAAAACGATATCGCGGATGAAAATGTATGGGTTGCGGGTTTTAAGGCTACTTCTAAATTACACCGCTGCCGCCATGGCATTTTTCTGAAATATAATTCACTGTGACCTGCTGCTGCTGATTTATCAGGCAGTGAGGCAGCCTGTTGCTGAGTGAGTGAGATTACACAGACCCACAATGAATTCGAAAACCAATCCAATTTTGATAAACTCCCATATCTATTGGGTGAATGATAAACTCCCATATCTGTGCCACTAGAGATCCTGTTTCGAATCCAGGCTCTGTCGTAGCCGGCCGCCACCGGGAGACCCATGGGGCGGCGCACAATTGGCCCAGCGTCGTTCAGGGTAGGGGAGGGAATGGCCGGCAGGGATGTAGCTCAGTTGGTAGAGCATGGTGTTTGCAACGCCAGGGTTGTGGGTTCGATTCCCACCGGGGGCCAGTATGACAAAAAAAAAATGTATGCACTCACTAACTGTAAGTCGCTCTGGATAAGAGCGTCTGCTAAATGACTAAAATGTAAATATCTATTGGGTGAAATACCACAGTGTGCCATCCCAGCAGCAATATTTGTGACCTGTTGCCACAACAAACGGGCAACCAGTGAAGAACAAACACCATTGTAAATACAACCCATGTTTATTTATTTTCCCTTTTGTACTTTAACTATTTGCACATCGTTATATAGCCATAATATGACATTTGAAATGTCTCTATTCCTTTGGAGCTTATGTGAGTGTAATGTTTACTGTTCAGTTGTTGTTTTTCACTTTTCTTTACCTATTTCACTTGCTTTGGCAATGTAAACATATGTTTCCCATGCCAATAAAGCCCTTTAAAGCCCTTTGAATTGAGTGGTGGGGAGGGCAAGAGTGGTTGTGTGTTGACTAAGTGCTGCTGCAGGCAGCTGAATCACGTGAGTGAGAGGAGCCAGAAGCACGCGCGCACGCCATGACAACTTCTTACCAGTTGTACAGTCGTGGTCAAAAGTTTTGAGAATGACACAAGTATTGGTCTTCACAAAGTTCGCTGCTTCAGTGTTATGAGATATTTTTGTCAGATGTTACTATGGTATACTGAAGTATTATTACAAGCATTCCATAAGTGTCAAAGGCTTTCATTGACAATTACATTATGTTTATGCAAAGAGTCAATATTTGCAGTGTTGACCCTTCTTTTTCAAGACCTCTGCAATCCGCCCTGGCATGCTGTCAATTAACTTCTGGGCCACATCCTGACTGATGGCAGCCCATTGTTGCATAATCAATGCTTGGAGTTTATCAGAATTTGTGGGTTTTTGTTTGTCCACCCGCCTCTTGAGGATCGACCACAAGTTCTCAATGGGATTAAGGTCTGGGGAGTTTCGTGGCCATGGACCCAAAATTTCGATGTTTTGTTCCCCGAGCCACTTAGTTATCACTTTTGCCTTATGGCAAGGTGCTCCATCATGCTGGAAAAGGCATTGGTCGTCACCAAACTTTTCTTGGATGGTTGGGAGAAGTTGCTCTCGGAGTATGTGTTGGTACCATTCTTTATTCATGGCTGTGTTCTTAGGCAAAATTGTGAGTGAGCCCACTCCCTTGGCTGAGAAGCAACCCCACACATGAATGGTCTCAGGATGCTTTACTGTTGGTATTCCACAGGACTAATGGTAGCGCTCACCTCACAAGGTGTTTTCCAGATGCCCCAAACAATCGGAAGGGGGATTCATCAGAGAAAATGACTTTACCCCAGTCCTCAACAGTCCAATCCCTGTACCTTTTGCAGAATATCAGTCTGTCCCTGATGTTTTTCCTGGAAAGAAGTGGCTTCTTTGCTGCCCTTCTTGACACCAGGCCATCCTCCAAAAGTCTTCGCCTCACTGTGTGTGCAGATGCACTCACACCTGCCTGCTGCCATTCCTGAGCAATTGCACTGCACTGGTGGTGCCCTGATCCCGCAGCTGAATCAACTTTAGGAGATGGTCCTGGTGCTTGCTGGACTTTCTTGGGCACCCTGATGCCTTCTTCACAACAATTGAACCTCTCTCCTTGAAGTTCTTGATGATCCGATAAATGGTTGATTTAGGTACAATCTTACTAGCAGCAATATCCTTGCCTGTGAAGCCCTTTTTGTGCAAAGCAATGATGACAGCATGTGTTTCCTTGCAGGTAACCATGGTTAACAGAGGAAGAACAATGATTTCAAGCACCACCCTCCTTTTAAAGCTCCAGTCTGTTATTCTACTCAATCAGCATGACAGAGTGATCTCCAACCTTGTCCTCATCAACACTCTCACCTATGTTAACGAGGGTATCACTGACATGATGGCTGCTGGTCCTTTTGTGGCAGGGCTGAAATGCAGTGGAAATGTTTTTTTGGGATTAAATTCATTTTCATGGCAAAGAGGGATTTTGCAATTCATCTGATCACTCTTCATGACATTCTGGAGTATATGCAAATTGCCATCATCAAAATTGAGGCAGCAGACTTTGTGTAAATTAGTATTTGTGTCATTCTCAAAACTTTTGACCACGATTGTAGGTAGGCTATTTAGTTTGTAATTATGGAGACACTTATTTCCAACCCTTTTTCCATAAAACATATAACGTGCTAGAACTGATGTGCGTCAAGAAATAAGGCGACAAAGCAAAGGAAAACGACTTTATGCGCATTAGATAAATTCGCTCAGAGGTGGTTTAAACTGCATTCTAATGTCGACTTTGCATATGGAAAACCATATCAAGCGAAACACGTGCAGTCCTTGGGTCTCGAGCGCTGCGCGAGTGGACATACATTTTAAATTGAAGTTATGGAACTCTTTCGCGTGCTTCTGTTTTGGGGAGAAGTCCACAATGAAACTGACATTAAATGTGGAGAAGGATACATCTATTGGCCATTAAGTAGCCTATTAATTTCTATGCCTATGTAGGCTACTGTAGCCTACCATTTCATACAATAAATATGTTGAAATGACGATATCACTGGAGTCAATGCAAATACATTTGTGCCACTTGTGTAGCCTACCTGGTGCTGGCAAACTGTTTTAATAAATAGCCTATAACTTCAGTTTATTGTTGTGTAGCCTTGTGTTCGTATGCAATTATTAATGGCCATGTTTAGTTCATGAAATGTTAAATTATCAATTGTGATCATGGTCACAGTTCTATCGCAATTGCCGATCAGCTGTTGAAATGCATTAGATTGAAGGTAAATCAATACAGGTTGAAAGAAACACTGGCTCTTGTTGACAAGCATATGCCTATTCAGTTCATATCCATATTATTAATATATGATTCAGTGATTGAAATTACAGCCCCATCATCCTCAGTAGCCTATTCCAGCAGGCTATTGGGCAACAGAAGCACTTCTTACCTCGAAATCGCCTCGTTATTCATGTTGAATAAATGTCTGTCAATTTAAACTAAGCAAGCTGCTAAATCGTCCATTTTACATCTTGCCTAGGCTACTGTAGGCAATCAGGGGCTATAGGCTACATTTACATTTACATTTTAGTCATTTAGCAGACGCTCTTATCCAGAGCGACTTACAGTTAGTGATTACATATTTTTTTTTTTTATACTGGCCCCCCGTGGGAATCGAACCCACAACCCTGGCGTTGCAAACGCCATGCTCTATCAACTGAGCTACATCCCTGCCGGCCATTCCCTCCCCTACCCTAGACGACGCTGAGGCTACCTGCATCTAGCTAACCAAACCATGGAAAAGTTGAATTACAATCATAACCCCAGATTTTAGTCAGTAGGCCTAGCCTATGCCCATTGAAATGACAAGTCAATCTCGCAAATAGGCCATTTATAACGGGTTGTTATAACGGTCTTAACATCTGGCACATAATGGCACAATTGCCAGAAAATAGCCTAACATTTGTTTTTTAAAATTCGTCCAAGTGTTTCTTGCACAGAGATTTCGAGATCATCTGTCCAACTTCATCCCTCAAACTCTAATTGGATTTATCTATAGTTATGCACATGCGCATAAGGGATTTCAAATCAAATCACATTTTATTGGTCACATGCGCCGAATACAAAAGGTGCAGACATTACAGTGAAATGCTTACTTACAGCCCTTAACCAACAGTGCATTTATTTTTTTATAAAAAAGTAAAATAAAACAACAACAAAAAAGTGTTGAGAAAAAAAGAGCAGAAGTAAAATAAAATAACAGTAGGGAGGCTATACAGTGGGGAAAAAAAGTATTTAGTCAGCCACCAATTGTGCATGTTCTCCCACTTCAAAAGATGAGAGAGGCCTGTAATTTTCATCATAAGGACACGTCAACTATGGCAGACAAAATGAGAAAAAAAAATCGAGAAAATCCCATTGTAGGATTTTTAATGAATTTATTTGCAAATTATGGTGGAAAATAAGTATTTGGTCAATAACAAAAGTTTCTCAATACTTTGTTATATACCCTTTGTTGGCAATGACACAGGTCAAACGTTTTCTGTAAGTCTTCACAAGGTTTTCACACACTGTTGCTGGTATTTTGGCCCATTCCTCCATGCAGATCTCCTCTAGAGCAGTGATGTTTTGGGGCTGTCGCTGGGCAACATGGACTTTCAACTCCCTCCAAAGATTTTCTATGGGGTTGAGATCTGGAGACTGGCTAGGCCACTCCAGGACCTTGAAATGCTTCTTATGAAGCCACTCCTTCATTGCCCGGGCGGTGTGTTTGGGATCATTGTCATGCTGAAAGACCCAGCCACGTTTCATCTTCAATGCCCTTGCTGATGGAAGGAGGTTTTCACTCAAAATCTCACGATACATGGCCCCATTCATTCTTTCCTTTACACGGATCAGTCGTCCTGGTCCCTTTGCAGAAAAACAGCCCCAAAGCATGATGTTTCCACCCCCATGCTTCACAGTAGTTATGGTGTTCTTTGGATGCAACTCAGCATTCTTTGTCCTCCAAACACGACGAGTTGAGTTTTTATCCAAAAGTTATATTTTGGTTTCATCTGACCATATGACATTCTCCCAATCCTCTTCTGGATCATCCAAATGTACTCTAGCAAACTTCAGACGGGCCTGGACATGTACTGGCTTAAGCAGGGGGACACGTCTGGCACTGCAGGATTTGAGTCCCTGGCGGCGTAGTGTTACTGATGGTAGGCTTTGTTACTTTGGTCCCAGCTCTCTGCAGGTCATTCACTAGGTCCCCCCGTGTGGTTCTGGGATTTTTGCTCACCGTTCTTGTGATCATTTTGACCCCACGGGGTGAGATCTTGCGTGGAGCCCCAGATCGAGGGAGATTATCATTGGTCTTGTATGTCTTCCATTTCCTAATAATTGCTCCCACAGTTGATTTCTTCAAACCAAGCTGCTTACCTATTGCAGATTCAGTCTTCCCAGCCTGGTGCAGGTCTACCATTTTGTTTCTGGTGTCCTTTGACAGCTCTTTGGTCTTGGCCATAGTGGAGTTTAGAGTGTGACTGTTTGAGGTTGTGGACAGGTGTCTTTTATACTGATAACAAGTTCAAACAGGTGCCATTAATACAGGTAACGAGTGGAGGACAGAGGAGCCTCTTAAAAAAGAAGTTATAGGTCTGTGAGAGCCAGAAATCTTGCTTGTTTGTAGGTGACCAAATACTTATTTTCCACCATAATTTGCAAATAAATAAATTAAAAATCCTACAATGTGATTTTCTGGATTTTTTTTCCTCAATTTGTCTGTCATAGTTGACGTGTACCTATGATGAAAATTACAGGCCTCTCTCATCTTTTTAAGTGGGAGAACTTGCACAATTGGTGGCTGACTAAATACTTTTTTCCCCCATTGTATATACAGGGGGGTACAGGTGCAGAGTCAATGTGCGGGGGCACCGGCTAGTTGAGGTAGTTGAAGTAATATGTACATGTGGGTAGAGTTAAATCATAGCAGTCAAACGAGTTAACATCCATTGATGGAAAATTATCTGGCGAGTTTAATAGAGGCGAATGATCTTTTCTCTTGCGACATATTCCGATTCCTTTATTAGTCACGTTAGCTCACAATAATTATTATTTTGATGTAAAACCAAATTTTGATTTTTACGTCATTACAAATTACGTCAATATTCCTTGTTAATTCGCTCGACAACGTTATGGAAAATGGGTTTATTGGGCAAATGTGGCAACTCCTCTCTTGCTGCTGAAAACATACATTTGGGCTGGTTTTCAGGCCTTGTGTGTTAGTTTTGATTAGTCACTAATTTGTTTGAACCCCGCTGGTGAAGTCAGGAAACGCATTACAGATCATCTGGCTGTATGAAAAATGTATGCACTCACTAAACTGTAAGTCGCTCTGGATAAGAGCGTCTGCTAATAATGACTAAAATGTAAATGTAAATATACGGCGGAGCTGATGGCCATACTGTTGGCCTTGCAGTGGGTGGAGGAAGCTAAACCAGACAGAATAGTTATTTGCTCTGACTCCTGCACAGTGTTAATGAGTCTCCAGTCTTTTAGCTCACGTAGCAGACAAGACCTGCTTTATGAGGTGCTACAAACCCATGGCAGGATTAAGATAAGATTTACTTGGGTTCCAGCCCATGTGGGGGTGGAGGGGAACGAAGCAGTAGATTAACAGGCTAAACAAGCACTTAGTAGTGGGGATGTTGATGTGTCAATGAGCAAGGCAGAGGCAAAAAGACTGATATATACAGTGATGGTGCAGAGATGGCAGGAGCAGTGGAATATAAATATTAAGGGAAGGCATTTATTTCAAGTACAGAGGAAAGTCGGGGAGGGGAGGAAGGCAGGAAGGGACAGAAGAGAGGAGGCTATATTTACAAGATTAAGGGTGGGACACAGCCAGTTGAATAAGACACTAAGCGTGATAGGAAAGCATCCATCAGGAAAATGTGATTATTGTCAGGAAATAGAGACTGTGGAGCATGTATTGCTACAGTGTGGGCAGTATCAGAGGGAAAGAGAGAGGATGAGATTAAGTATGAGGGAGAAGGGTATACAGGAAATTAGTTTAAAGAGTATATTGAGTAGAACGTAATTAGATATAGTATCACATATTTTGTTTTCTTTTTTAAGAGAAACTGGGTTGGCAGGTAGGATTTAGTTTATCCCTTTCTCTGGCCCACACTGCAGTACGGTAGATGGCGGTAATGCATCATAACGTTGGATGCCAACCGCCCATAAACCTCACTGAAGAAGAAGATGAACCCTGCTGGTGAATGCTCTAGAAACGTCGAATGCGAGGTAGCTGCGTCACAACGTCAGGTCCATACAGAGATCCAGTCCGCGAGGCGTAGAAAGGGTGGCCTTGCAGTGTGTGTGGCTATTCAATACACATTTTTGTAGTTTGCACACACTTTTCCTACAGCCCCATTGAAACGAAAAGCGTATCAGGACAGTATTCTAAATTAATTGTGTATCCCCAAGGAGAAGGCGATCACAACGGTTTTGGCATATCTACAACAAGACATGTAAGTTTGGGAGGATGGGCGAGCGCGTGCCTACAATTTAGCCAGCAAAAGCACGCTAGCGCAAGTAGCTAGCTAACGTCGTTGGTTTCGTTATGCCGCTAACTACCTAGCATACCAACATGCTTTTACGAAAGGCGGGAGGAACACCTAGCGATGATAGGCCTTATTTCGTAGCTAGCTATCTGTTAACTACCAAGCTAACTTACAATGCAAGTTAATGATAATGCTAATGTCCGTACGTTGATTTGCTAACTAGCTAGCGGCAAGGAAGTCGCTAGCTAGCTACTAACGTTAGTCAACTTAACATTAACGTTACTAGTTTTCTGTCTATACTCAGTCACTCATGGGCTAAATTCCCGTTAGCCATTAGTAGAAGCTAGCTAACTATCTAGCTACAGTAATGGAAGTTGTCTAGTTAGTATGGTCAAGTGCATGACTCCGCATGGCATGTGGTGTGCATTCCTGTCCTGTGTATGTTTCAATGAGCTAACGCTAGCTAACTAGCAAGGTAGGAAAATATATTCTACAACGGATTAACGTTATTAACTAGTTAGATTAGTTCACCATGGGTTGGCCTTACCTAGTTTGTTAGCTTACGCTAGCCACATGAGAACGGAAATTCCTGCTTCACACAAGATGTAACGTTCAAAGAGCTCTGTTTAGCATAAGTAGCTAGCCAGCCTAAGAGTATTTATTTAAAAAACGACGGACAATTTAGCTGTAACCGAATGTTTATATTCATACCATGCACATGGCTAGATAATGTCCAGTTGCTCTGAACAAAATGAAAGGCTGTTTATCCTACTGCTGACTAGTTATAAGGAAGCCAAGCGAGCTGGCTAGTTGGCTAATGATACAGCATGCTCATTGTTGACTGAAGTCCTTAATAGTTGTTAAATGCATATGTAAGGTCAGCTGTATGGTAATCTAAATTACATTTGCACTGGGGCATTTCTAAACTAACTGTTAGAGTATCACATGAGAGCAGAAAGTAGTTGAAAATGAATTAAACTATCAAAAATGTGTTTGAAATGATCATAGTTGAGTTTGCACAGGTAACTTCGCATATGTGAGAGGCATGACAATGTCCGTTTTGAGGACATAGGGACGTTTTTAATCAGCTTTGACATTCCGTCAGTATTTTCCATCCTTTTTTATATGATAAACGTGAATCTGTTGCTTCTTAATAAATACTCAGCCGTTTTCCATTTTGGAACCATCTTGCCTTTACTGTATCGCAGCAAATTGATGCCTTATTGGCAACCTGATATACCTGCCTTTGATGGTGAGCCTTTGTCGCAACTGTGTCCCACCTGCTCCATGCAGGTGCTCCACAGCCATTTGTCCCGACTCCCACTCTGTTACTAGCACTGGGGTGGAAGTTACCCTTGGGTACAGCTGTAGGATCCGTGTACCCTCCCTAAATCTTAACTGTAATGATAAGGGGGATTTGCTTGCAGTTTGCTATCCAAGACAACATTGCTGTAAAATACCAGCAGGAGATCCTTCCTCTTCAGTGATGACTGATACAGTAACTTTTGTTCTTCTGAATCTACTAAAGCCAACCTTTCTGTCCTGAGATTTTTTTGTTGCTTTTCTCAACTCAATAAATATTATGTAGAACGTTGTCATTCATTGAGTTTCTTCATCTGTGTTCCCAGGCATCCAGCGACTGCTAAGTGGTATGACAGGCGGGACTCCGTCTACATCGAGTTCTGCGTAGCGGACAGCAAGGATGTCAAGATCAATTTCGAGAAAGCAAAGTTTGCTTTCAGGTGAGTTGTGACATCAAGTCAGTGGTTTAAAGAAAAGGTTGGACCAGAACTGCTCAAGGCATTTGAAAATCCCTCTAATTCAGTTTAAAGATGTGCTCTGGGGACTTTAACGACTACTAAGTACTTTTTAACCCTCCCACTTTGGGCTGGATGTGTCACTGTGTAGTTCATACATGCATAATCTATGAGCAGAATTACTGTTTTACCTCAATTAGCCACAAAATCCCTAGTTTGAAAGAAACTGTTTTTCTGGAAGTTGTGCGGCGCCATTTTCCCTACGTTTACCTCATGTGGGCCAGCCCCCTAGCAATCTGAGTACAACCAATGAGCTTCAGCCCCACGCCGTATGAGTGACAGCTAGCAAGATGCACAGGCAGCAGAGACGGAGAGCAATGATGTGGTGCACATATCTGCACATATGTGATGTAGTATGCCATTTTCAGGGACCACTTTGGCTTGTGAGCGCTACTTTCAGAACTACTGGCTAAGAAGTATACAAAAGTACCAGAGAATCCCTTTAAGTCACATTTATGCTGAAATTCCTTTCACCCCTCCCGTTACCAGTTGTCTTGGAGGAACTGACCAAGTCAAACACGAGAATGAAGTAGACCTTTTCGAAGCCATTGATGAAAATGTGAGTCACTCAATCACTTCATTACATTGTCATCCTGTCCTCAGGACGAGGTACAGATTGCATCCTATGATCTATAACTAATGGAACTTAATTTTGCGGAGTGAAAGTGTTTCATGTATCTCTCTTGGACACACATAGGAATCCATACACAAACGCACAGATCGGTCAGTGTTGTGCTGTTTACGAAAAGCAGAACCTGGGAAGCCGTGGCCGAGGCTAACAAAAGAGAAGGCTAAGGTCAGTTATGCTGTCTAATGTATTTGCCATATATATATATATATATCACACTACCGTTCAAAAGTTTGGGGTCACTTAGACATTTCCTTGTTTTCAAAAGAAAAGCAATTTTTTTGTCCATTAAAACAACATCAAATTAATCAGAAATACAGTGTAGACATTGTTAATGTTGTAAATGGCTATTGTAGCTGAAAACGACTGATAAAAAAAAGGATATCTACATAGGCGTACAGAGGCCCGTTATCAGCAGCCATCAGTCCTGTGTTCCAATGGCACGTTGTGTTTGCTAATCCAAGTTTATCATTTTAAAAGGCTAATTGATCATTAGAAAACCCTTTTGCAATTATGTTAGCACAGCTGAAAACTGTTGTGCTGATTAAAGAAGCAATAAAACTGGCCTTCTTGAGACTAGTTGAGTATCTGGAGCATCAGTAATTGTGGGTTCGATTACAGGCTCAAAATGTCTCAACGTCAACAGTGAAGAGGCGACTCCGGGATGCTGACCTTCTAGGCAGAGTTGCAAAGAAAAAGCCATATCTCAGACTGGCCAATAAAAAGAAAAGATTAAGCTGGGCAGTCTGAGTTATGGCTTTTTCTTTGCAACTTTGCAACTTTTTTTTTTCGAAAACAAGGACATTTCTAAGTGACCCCAAACTTTTGAACAGTAGTGTGTGTGTATATATATACACAGAGTGCCTTTGGAAAGTATTCAGACCCCTTGACTTTTTCCCCATTTTGTTACTTTACAGCCATGTTCTAAAATTGATTAAATAAATAAAAATCCACAGCGATCTGTACACAATACCCCATAATGAATACTTATGTAAATAAGGTATATCCGGTTTAGTTTTTTATGACTAAACCTGTTTTCGCTATGTCATTATGGGGTATTGTGTGTAGATCGATGAGGAAAAACATATTTAATCCATTTTAGAATAAGGCTGTAACATAATAAAATGTGGGAAAAGTAAAGGGGTCTGAATACTTTCCGAATGCACTGTGTGTCTATTTTGTTAAAATAAAAATGTAGTATTCTGTGCTTAAGTATTGGTCGATAATTGATTTCGGAACACACTGAATTCTAAATGCACGTAAGGAGCCAGGAAGATGACTTCCTCCAAACAAGCGTCTGCAAGCCTTTTTGTCATACATGATATTCCTCAACAGCTAACTTGGCTCAGCGTTGACTTTAACAACTGGAAAGACTGGGAGGACGATTCGGACGAGGAGCTAGGCAACTTCGATCGTTTCTCAGAGGTAGGAGACGGGGATATGGCGTTCAACACACAAGAAGCAATGGCTAAAGTAAGGGTCCTAGGGCAAATGGTGAACTTGCTCTTGATTGCTGTATGAAAGGTTGGTCAAAGACTGTACAAATGAGTACATAACAGCATTATTATATTTGGCTCAGGCTGTTCTGTGTGATTCTGATTGCAGATGATGAACAACATGGGAGGGGAAGATGACCTACCTGATCTAGATGGTGCTGATGATGTAAGAGCTTCTCTGTGGAGTTCATCCTCTTTTTCTCAGTTTCACTTTACTTGAATTTGTACAAAAACACAATGTCCCACTCTAGTCATGTGCCTCTTGTGTATGGGCTTGCTAATGACTAATCAGTCTCTTTAGAAGAATGTGTGGGACACAATATGTACAATTCAAACCATAGTCTGCGATCCAGACTAACATTTTCCCCTGGTGGCGCTGTTGCCACTAGGTTTTTCCAGTTGGTGGCATCAGCCCATTATTTGGTTGCACCAATTTTTCCTGCGGTGGGATGCAATAGAGAGAATTTAGTAATCATCTTATAAAGTAATTCAGTGCTTTATTAACCCTTCTACAATTCCATAGGCCCTGTGGAAAACAAATTAACGTTTAAAAAACCCTCATAAACCCTGTTTAAGATAGAGATATCGTTTTTTTGTTGTTGCATGAGCTGAGTCTCAATATGCCGATATCGCCCTTCCGCATCTGCCATGATGACATCCCAAAAATTGTCCTCACAAAGCGTCTAAAGCCACCGAACGGCTTGGCCTACAAACTATTATGACCCCTCTGTGGAAAGATGAGATCTCATGGAGGCCCCCATAAGTGTCACGGGACTTGTCTGAAGTCAGTACAGCCTCTCCTGCCAATTTCTGTATGTATCGTCCGAACAGTTTGGCCTACACACTACGAACACGTACGCTACCGGTCTTACGACACTTACACTACTGGTCAAAAGTTTTAGAACACCTACTCATTCAAGGGTTTTTCTTTATTTGTACTATTTTCTACATTGTAGAATAATAGTGAAGACGTCAATACAGCTCAGCTGGTAGAGCACGACGCATGTAACGCCAAGGTAGTGGGTTCGATCCCCGGGACCACCCATACACAAACATGTATGCACGCACGACTGTAAGTCGCTTTGGATAAAAGCGTCTGCTAAATGGCATATTATTATATTATTATTATAACACACATGGAATCATGTAGTAACCAAAAAAGTGTTAAACAAATCAAAATATCTTTTTATATTTGAGATTCTTCAAATAGCCACCCTTTGCCTTGATGACAGCTTTGCACACTCTTGGCATTCTCTCAACCAGCTTCACCTGGAATGCTTTTCCAACAGTCTTGAAGGATTTCCCACATATGCTGAGCACTTGTTGGCTGCTTTTCCTTCGCTCTGCGGTCCGACTCATCCCAAACCATCTCAATTGGGTTGAGGTCGGGGGGATTGTGGAGGCCAGGTCATCTGATGCAACTCTCCTTCTTGGTAAAATAGCCCTTACACAGCCCGAAGGTGTGTTGGGTCATTGTCCTGTTGAAAAACAAATGATAGTCCCACTAAGCCCAAACCAGATGGGATGGCGTATAGCTGCAGAATGCTGTGGTAGCCATGCTGGTTGTGTGCCTTAAATTCTAAATAAATCAGTGTCACCAGCAAAGCACCCCCACAGCATAACACCACCTCCATGCTTTACGGTGGGAAATACACATGCGGAGATCATCCGTTCACCCACACAACATCTCACAAAGACGCAGTGGCTGGAACCAAGAATCTCCCATTTGGACTCCTGACCAAAGGACACATTTCCACTGGTCAATCAATCAAATGTTATTTATAAAGCCCTTTTTACATCATCAGATGTCACAAAGTGCTATACAGAAACCCAGCCTAAAACCCCAAACAGCAATCAATGCAGATATAGAAGCTCGGTGGCTAGGAAAAACTCCCTAGAAAGGCAGAAACCTAGAGAGGAACCAGGGCTCTGAGGTGTGGCCAGTCCCCATCTGGCTGTGCCGGGTGGAGATTATAACAGTACATTATAACAGTACATGGCCAAGATGTTCATACGTTCATAGATGACCAGCAGGGTCAAATAATAATCAGTGGTTGTATGAAGAAGAAAAAAAATATAGTTTTTTTGTAGAGGTTGCAACAGGTCATTACATCAGGAGTAAATGTCACTTGGCTTTTCATAGCCAGGCATTTAGAGGTTGAAATAGCAAGTGCGGTAGAGAGTTGAAAACAGCAGGTCTGGGACAAGGTAGCACGTCCGGTGAACAGGTCAGGGTTCCATAGCCGCAGACAGAAGAGTGGAAACTGGAGCAGCAGCACGACCTGGTGGACTGGGGACTGCAAGGAGTCCTGAGGCATGGTCCTAGGGCTCAGGTCCTCCGGGATGGGGGTGAGAGAGAGAATTAGAGGGAGTATACTTAAATTCACACAGGACACCGGATAAGACCGGAGAATAACACCAGATATAACAGACTGACACTAGCCCCCCGGCACATAGACTATTGCAGCATAGATACTGGAGGCTGAGACATTGCTTGTGTTTCTTGGCCCATTTTAGTCATTTAGCAGACGCTCTTATCCAGAGAGACTTAGTGAGTGCATACATTTTTCATACTGGCCCCCCGTGGGAAACGAACCCACAACCCTGGCAATGCAAGCGCCATGCTCTACCAACTGAGCTACAGGGGACTATTCCACAAATTAACTTTTAAGAAGGCACACCTGTTAATTGAAATGCATTCCAGGTGACTACCTCATGAAGCTGGTTGAGAGAATCCCAAGAGTGTGCAAAGCTGTCATCAAGGCAAAGGGTGGCTATTTGAATAATATAAAATATATTTTGATTTGTTTAAAATTTTTTGGTTACTACATGATTACATATGTGTTATTTCATAGTTTTGATGTCTTCACTATTATTCTACAATGTAGAAAATAGTAAAAAATTAAGAAAAACCCTTGAATGAGTAGGTGTTCTAAAACTTTTGACCAGTAGTGTAAGTGTCGGTTGTTTTGCTCTAGGACACCATAAGACTCGTTTGAAGCCTCTGGTACCAGTAAAAAAAAATAATTGGAGTATATATGGAGATAGTTTAGTGCCTAAAATAAGGGGTTAAATACATGCCAACATCATTTTTTTTAAAGTTTCCTGATCTTACTCATATCTCTCAGATATAGGACAGACGCTTCAGAACAAACTTCCCTTTGATATTTCTGGGAGACTATGTTCCATGTAGTGAATCTATTATTCAAGGTGTTTCTATGGGCTAATAACAGTAATGCCAAATTTCAATGTTTCATTAAATTATTTATTTTTAGTCTTGGGTGGTATACCATGTATACTGGGGTATTTGGAAATAACCACTGGATGGGTTTTCAATGCCGTTAACTATTTCTTTGAAGTTTTTCAATACATTTTAATATTTGTAGCTACTTAAGTAAATACCTGCAATACCTTAGGCGATGAAGCAGATCGCGTTATTCATTTCACCTGTCACATTATTTTACATTATGAAGCTTACCATAGTTCCCCAGAACAGTTGTCAGTCACGTGTTTGTTTGTAAATAGCACAACAGGAGAAAGCGGGAGCAGGTGAGTCCAGCTGTGTATTGACAGGGGTCACGTGTTTCTTTGCTTCAACAGAGTGATCTGGGACGTGCAACTATAGTTTTCCTTCACAGAAAATACATTAGTGCAACACATTCTGCAGAAAATAGCTTCATTGTCATCAGAATGAATTTAGCCAGCTGCATTTCCTAATATTTGCTTAAAGTTAATCTTGCATTTTACTGGAGAAAAGTAGGCTGGCTACACTGAGAAAAGTACTGGAGAAAAGTAGCTACGCATCAGCCAGATCGCTTTCTGCTGATAGAAGGCCTGTTTTGGAATTCTCATCTGCGTGGAGAAGTGCAACTGAAGCACGAAATTAGTCTAATGCCGAGTAGAATGACAATAATAAGCATTTTATATCTGTTTACAAAACACAGCAAGATATGTCTTATGCCCTATATTTTTTTCCTGAATTATGCATTAACGCGACCTTTAAGTTTAACTTGCTAGTTGGCTGAATTAATAGGGTGACAGGGCATCATTGTGTTTAGCGTTGTACCATGTTTGAGAAGTCAAAGCCCTTTGGATGAGTTAGTTCTACAGCTGCCACTATCTTGATTTCCTTGCGTTTTTTTCTCCTCTCAGTTCTCTCGCCCGTCTTCTCCCCTTCCCTTTTCTCCGTTCTCGGAGCAGAGCAGGCAGCCCCGTTGCCCTAGCGACTCCACACAGACACAAGGTGTAGCCTACACATGCTGCTCCAGAGCCAGTACTGTTCTTCCTTCAGACAAGCATGCGTCAACTTTGGTCATTTGTACAATGTCTCTTGTTCACATTCGCTTGTAAATTTCCGAACTCACCAAAAATGATATTCCGTAGCTTCCAGTGCATTCGGAAATTATTCAGACCCCTTGACTTTTCTACATTTTGTTAAATTACAGCCTTATTCTAAAATGGATTCAATTCCCCATAATGACAAAGTAAAAATGTGTTTTTAGAATTTTTAGCAAATGTTATTTATAAAATAAAAATTAAACGGATCACATTTACCTAAGTATTCAGACCCTTTACTCAGTACTTTGTTGAAGCACCTTTTGGCAGCGATTACAGCCTCGAGTCTTCTCGGGTATGACGCGACAAGCTTGGCACACATGTATTTGGGGAGTTTCTCCCATTCTTCTCTGCAGATCCTCTCAAGCTCTCAGGTTGGATGGGGAGCGTCGCTGCACAGCTATTTTCAGGTTTCTCCAGAGATTTTCAATTGGGTTCAAGTCCGGGCTCTGGCTGGGCCATTCGATGACTTTCTCTCTACTTTGCTCCGTTCATCTTTCCCTCGATCCTGACTAGTCTCCCAGTCCCTGCCGCACCGTAGGGATGGTGCCAGGTTTCCTCCAGACGTGACGCTTGGCATTCAGGCCAACGTGTTCAGTCTTGGTTTCATCAGACCAGAGAATCTTGTTTCTCATGGTCTGAGAGTCCTTTAGGTGCCTTCTGGCAAACTCCAAGCGGGCTGTCATATGCCTTTTACTGAGGAGTGGCATCCATCTGGCCACTCTACCATGAAGGCCTGAATGGTGGAGTGCTGCAGAGATGGTTGTCCTTCTGGAAGGTTCTCACATCTCTACAGAGGAACTCTGGAACTCTGTCAGAGTGACCATCAGGTTCTTGGTCAGCTCCCTGACCAAGGCCCTTATCCCCTGATTGCTCAGTTTGGCCGGGCGTCCAGCTCTAGGAAGAGTCTTGGTGGTTCCAAACTTCTTCCATTTAAGCATGGAGGCGGCCACCATGTTCTTGGGGACCTTCAATGCTGCAGAAATGTTTTGGTACACTTCCCCAGATCTGTCTCGGAGCTCTACGGACAATTCCTTTGACCTCATGGCTTGGTTTTTGCTCTGACTTGCACTGTCAACTGTGGGACCTTATTTAGACAGGTGTGTGCCTTTCCAAATCATGTCCAATCAGTTCAATTTACAACAGGTGGACTCGAATCAAGTTGTAGAAACAGCTCAAGGATGATCAATCGAAATAGGATCCACCGGAGCTCAATTTTGAGTCTCATAGCAAAGGGTCTGAATACTTATGTAAATGAGGTATTGCTGTTTTTTATTTGGATGAAATATGAAAACATTTTAACTGTTTTCGCTTTGTCATTATGGGGTATTGTGTGTAGAATGGGGTATTGACGAGAGAAATACATAATTTAATCCAGTTTAGAATAAGGCTTAGACTAGATGGTTAGGAAGTGTAATAAGACTACTGAGATGGTTTCATCTAACATGTTATGATTCCAAATATTTTGATCCAGCCATTGAATTTTGGGTTGACAATTAGGCTATTGTAGTTATATTTAACTGTTCAAATAGGGCTCAAGAATTTTCAGATTTGTTTTGTTCAATAGAGATTGATTTGCCTACATCTTTATGTGCACTAATATCTATGCTTATTTATTAAGGGCTAATTCACCACCTGAATAAGTGGAAACTCAAACATTAGCTAGGTCGCTAACTCTAAATATAATACCCACCTACTTCCCAGTGAGACTTATGCAATCACAATGGCGGATGCGCATTTTGCATGCTCCATATCTCAAACGCCATAGGCCTATAAAATATATTTGTTGTAAAATGGCTGCTATTGAGCTCAATATTGAAAGCTGAGAAATGCCTCTTCAATGGTGACACCCGTATAACACAGGATAGCTGTTTCCCCACAATTGGATTCTGAAATGTTATACAATCAGAAGAAAAAATCTTCCTGGGAAAGGCAGTGAGTGGCCCACTCATCACAGCAGCAGGCCCCAGCTAAACGGGCACTGTGCCATGGCAGACACTTTCATTACAGTAATCATGCGGATAATGCTCTTTACTGTTTTGAGCAAATCATGGTTTTAGTCTCTTAGAAAATATGACGTTTTGCGTGAGGTGACCATGTAGAATGTGCAGCTCGCACCCGTGCGACCAATTTACAAATTGAACTAACACAGCCAAGTCAAAGGGCTGCGAAATGTGACAATTGTCAGTCTGGAGCCCTTTCATATGTAATTTTATCTCATGCTTGTTTCTATTCCTGTTTAGGATGAGTCTGCAGATAGTGACGATGAAAGTAAGTGAAATGTTTTCTGATCAGATACTGAGCTTTCTAATCATTTTTATACCCTGACATCCCTTAACCCAGAAATGTTTTGGTGCAAAAGTGCTATGCAAAGTATATTGTTGTTTTTATCATATGGCCATTTATTTACTTTCCATTATTGATTTTTTTCAGAAATGCCTGATTTGGAATGAAAAACCTCAATCCTGGAAAGAGGGATGGAAGAAAGGAAGGAGGAATCATAAACTATCTTGAAATTGAAGGCAGTGAAAAAAAACTTCTACAGAAATGAGTCGGTAGCCATGTTTAAATCCATAGCCTCTGCTCCAGAGCTAATTTCTAATCAATCCACTTAAGGTTGATATGCATAGTGTTGTATAGAGTAGCAGTCTCCACTTCCATTTGCAGTGCTGCACTCTTGGCGTATCCTGTTTTACTATTAATTATTAGAGTAAGCATTCATGATTTGTTTCGGAAGTACTGTATAGTCATCCTCAACCTAGAAAGCAATATATGTGGTGAAGAGATTGTCAAGTGTAATGAAATGAAAAGTAATTAAACATATGTTTTATCCCCCCCCCTCCAAGGTTCTGTGTGTTAAGTTAGTTGATCAGTGTAGTTTCTTAAAATAATGGGGGGGAGAACTTGATTTTGAAGACCATAGCTACATCCCTCAACAGTTTACATTTTCTGTTTGGTTCCCTCTTGTGAGCCTCCCCTGTGGTATACAGATAGTGATCAGAGAAACAGTTCCATGTTTCTCTGTCTTCCTCACCTGTTAAATCGCAAACAGTTTATCAATGTTATGTTCAAAAGCTTTTGAATGTTCTCGAATTCTTACAGGCATCTGTCTTGACGTGTTGCTCCCCACGATCAATTTCTTTATTTTACTAATCCTGTATTACTATTTGCGATCTAACAGCAGTTGAGTTATTCATCACACATTTACACATGAGGCGACACAGGAGTAGAACTTACCCATTCCTATCTGTTTAGGCCTCTGAAAACATCTGGATTTGTCTTTTACTCTCAAGAATATTCCATCTGTTTAGAGTTATGGCAGTTAATACTCCTGGGCCTCCTGTGGTGAGGGGGTTGTTGATATGAGATGGTAAACATGTATGATGACCTAATTATATTTGCACTGTCAAGAAAATGGAAGTCAGCTGAGACAAATATAAACTTAGTTATTGGTGTGTGTAAGTCAACCTGTCAGGTTATCACAGGCTGAAGAATTTAAATTGATGTTGAATTGCAGTGAATTTTTTTAAAAATTGTCTACATATTTCTAATAAACTGTCTAAGACTCATATTTCACATGGTGTGTGTTTGAAGACGGTCTATGCAGGTGGCATGTCAAAGCCGTTTTATAGAACACGGCTTTCATTAGGGTGCGACTTTTCTGAAAGTTTAGATGTAAATAGGAGGATATTGCTACTGAACTACATTAATCACAGTTTTCCAAAACAATTGACAAAGAATAGGCTACAGTATAGAGCCGTGTTTCTCAACCTCCAGACATGTTTGGACAGCTAATATAGGTAAATAAATATCCTATAAATAATTCTGCTTCATGTTCACTATTATCTATGATCACCTATCCTCCCTTCCCTATAACTTTCTGAGCTCTTTTAAATAGGCTACATAATCTGGTCTAATCAACGTATGAGGATATATTGTATCGTTGGTTATCATCCGTTTTTTCAGGGTGAAAACGTGAAATGATGGCATGTCCGAGCGGCGGATGACCACCGGCTATCATAGGGGATGGGGGAGGCTGAAAGATGGCCACCGAGAACCATTTCTATTTTTACAACAAGCATCAAATGGCAAAGTTCGTATAGAGTCAATATCGGTCAAATTCATTACACTAAAATGAGAATAGGGCCATATAATAAATAGCATACTGCGTTCAGTTCCAGTGTGAAGGGGAAAAGTGGTTTCTGTCACACACAAAAAAAAATACATGAATGTAGTACCTCCCAATTATTTCAATTTATGTAGGTATTTTTGTAATGTATTATTAAAGCTGCAATATGTACCTTTAGGGACGACCAAATTCACATAGAAATGTGAGTTATAGATATGTAATTCTCCTTGAAAACAAGTCTAAGGGTGTGTTCGTAAATTCACAGACACTCATCTGACACACAGAATAACTGATGCATTTACGAACACGCAACACCCATTGAATATGACAGGTCTCAGTAAAAGTCGGCAAAAAAAACGTTCTTTTATTGTTGCCAGTGGCACAGTTACAGTCACCAACGCTCTAGATAACATAAAAACAGCCTAACCAGCTCTGCTAGGGCTAGTAAAATGATCATAGTGAGGTGTTCTCTTATTTGTGTCTTGAAGTAGCTAGCCAACGTTAGCCAGTTAGCTTGGTTGCTTGACTGCTGTTGAGGTCAGAATGCTCGGATCAACCCTACAACCCTTCTCCTCAGCCAGTGTCCAGTGTGTGCTCTGAATTTATGATTGGACAGTCTAACAACTCACTGAATTTAACAACGGACAATCTGACAACGCTCTGAATTTACGAACGCCCAGAGCACACTCTGGCACTCCAGAGTGAATATACGAGCACATCCTAAGAAGCGGTAGACGTGTTCTATGTGCACTATTTCCATGCTTCCCTTGCTTAAGTTTCGTTTTAGCGTCTTTTACTTTCGGTTTTGTACACCACCTGAAAATACAATCTTTTTTGGTTATGGAAAATATATTTCACTGCGGTTTAGATGGTACACTGATTCTCTCCACTATACTTGCTAGATTTGTCACATAAACTTAAATTAGGCGAACTATTAATATTTTAGCAACCAGGAAATGGCGGATTGATTTCTGCATAGTGCATCTTTAAACGAAAACCTCCCATCTTAGTGCTATCTCAGCATCACTTCCTGTAGCATTCTGACCAGAACCCTTTGCGCTCTAATGATTCCGATAGAGACATCCCGTCGGGTCCTAAAGCCGCTATTTCTCTTCGGTATTGAATGAGAGTAATTAAATAGTTATGCCGTGAAAGCGTGGAAAACAATTAGGAACTGTGAAACGAGAGGAGGTTGAGCGTTGAAAAAGGTTTCAACAATAAACGGGATAACCTTTAATTCAATTAAATGGCTTAATGAGAAAGCAATAGTTGTTATCTATTCAAAAATCATATTCTTGAGTACAGTCTTTTTCTTTTGAGTAAACAATATTATGGTATTTGTTTTGTTTTATGCTTTTCCTGAATGTGCCCATTTTAATGAGAAATGAAACTCTGGCAAAGCTGAAGATTAAATACAGTGCATTTGGAAATCATTTAGACCCCTTGACTTTTTCCACATTTTGTTACGTTACCGCCTTATTCTAAAATGAATTCAATTGTTTTTTCCCCCTTACCAATCTACACACAATACCCATAATGACGAAGAAAAAACAGTTTATTAGAATTTTTTGCAAATGTATTAAAAATAAAATAAATAAAATATCACGTTCACATTTACATAGGCCCCTGTGTAGCTCAGTTGGTAGAGCATGGCGCTTGCAACGCCAGGGTTGTGGGTTCGATTCCCACGGGGGGCCAGTATGATAATGTATGCACTCACTAACTGCAAGTCGCTCTGGATAAGAGCGTCTGCTAAATGACTAAAATGTCAAATGTAAATAAGTATTCAGACCCTTTACTCTACACTTAGTACTTTGTTGAAGCACCTTTGGCAGCGATTACAGCCTTGAGTCTTCTTGGGTATGACGCTACAAGCTTGGCACACCTGTATTTGGGGAGTTTCTTCCATTCTTCTCTGCAGATCCTCTCAAGCTCTGTCAGGTTGGATGGGGAGCGTCGCTGCACAGCTATTTTCAGGTCTCTCCAGAGATGTTAGATCGGGTTCAAGTCCGGGCTATGGCTGAGCCACTCAAGGACATTCAGAGACTTGTCCCGAAGCCACTCCTGCGTTGTCTTGGCTGTGTGCTTAGGGTCGTTGTCCTGTTTGAAGGTGAACCTTTGCCCCAGTCTGAGGTCCTGAGCTCTCTGAAGCAGGTTTTCATCAAGGATCTCTCTGTACTTTGCGATCCTGATTAGTCTCCCAGTCCCTACCGCTGAAAAACATCCCCACAGCATGATGCAGCCACCACCATGCTTCACCGTAGGGATGGTGCCAGGTTACCTCCAGACGTGACGCTTGGCATTCAGGCCAAAGAGTTCAAGCTTGGTTTCATCAGACCAGAGAATGTTGTTTTTCATGGTCTGAGAGTCCTTTCGGTGCCTTTTGGCAAACTCCAAGTTGGCTGTCATGTGCCTTTTACTGACACTCTGAAAGGGAGTGCTCCTAATATCAGCTTGTTACCTGTATAAAAGACACCTGTCCACAGAAGCAATCAATCAATCAGATTCCAAACTCTCCACCAAGACCAAAGAGCTCTCCAAGGATGTCAGGGACAAGATTGTAGACCTACACAAGGCTGGAATGGGCTACAAGACCATCGCCAAGCAGCTTGGTGAGAAGGTGACAACAGTTGGTACGATTATTCGCAAATGGAAGAAACACAAAATAACTGTCAATCTCCCTTGACCTGGGGCTCCATGCAAGATCTCACCTCGTGGAGTTGCAATGATCATGAGAACGGTGAGGAATCAGCCCAGAATTACACGGGAGGATCTTGTCAATGATCTCAAGGCAGCTGGGACCATAGTCACCAAGAAAACAATTGGTAACACACTACGCCGTGAAGGACTGAAATCCTGCAGCGCCTGCAAGGTCCCCCTGCTCAAGAAAGCACATATACATGCCCGTCTGAAGTTTGCCTATGAACATCTGAATGATTCAGAGGAGAACTGGGTGAAAGTGTTGTGGTCAGATGAGACCAAAATCGAGCTCTTTGGCATCAACTGAAATCGCCGTGTTTGGAGGAGGAGGAATGCTGCCTATGACCCCAAGAACACCATCCCCACCGTCAAACATGGAGGTGGAAACATTATGCTTTGGGGGTGTTTTTCTGCTAAGGGGACAGGACAACTTCACCG